TATGGCGTATCGTTCAGCTATTCATGAGAGTACAGGGTATACACCTAACATGCTAATGTTGGGAAGGGAAGTCTCAACTCCCTTGGACATTATGTATGGATTACCAGGAGATGAAGAACACATGAGTGTTCATGAATATGTGTGGAAGTTGCATAGCATTATGGAAGAGGCCCATCGATACACTTGACAATTAACTAATCAAGCTATGCTAAGACAGAAGAAATATCATGATAGGAATGTCGCTCCTAAACACTTTGAAATTGGTAACAAAGTGTTGGTATTTATCCCTCAAAGAGCTGTAGGAGCTGTAAAGAGCTGTAAGTCTCCAAAGCTCATGAGCTTTTGGTATGGCCCTTATGTTATCATAGAGAAACACACAGATCTTACATATAAAGTTAAGCGAGAGGGTGAAAAGAAAACTATGGTAGTGCATATAGATAGACTGAGGCCGTATAAGTCCCAGAACCTCAGTCTTGAGACAGAAAGTGAAGATGAATGCCTACCCATGGGTGGGGACGAAAATAAAGATATAGGAGATATTGATAGTGAAAAGGAGGATGATACACACTTAGACTATCTACCAAATACGGATTTGAATGAAATAGAAGTCGAGTATAAAGGTCGAAGACAACGAAAAAGGCCAAATTGGCACTCAGATTATCAATTTGACTATAATTTGTAAAATAATGATTCTTTATGTTTTTCTGATCCTTGATCACGAAATGCCTTTAACCAGAGTAACTCCAAGGAAACCAGGGTTCCTGTGTTCCATATGTCTTCATCGACTTCCATCGCATGAAGAGTGGAGAGAACATCTCATCACATGCGCACCTGAGGACATAAAGAAAAGGCGATACGAGTGCAGCCTTTGTGATAAAGCCTTTACAAAACCGTCACTTCTCATCCGACACCAAAAGAGAGTACACACGACTATACCCACAGCAAACACATCTGAGATTGTTAGCAGCTGTGCTATTAATGCAGAAACGGACGATGACCAGGAATGGCAGGAGGATCCAGGGGAACTCATCTTTGAGTCTGAACTTGAATCTGGCAGAACCATTAGAAAAGCAACAGCACATTGCCTACCTGGGGTAATGAGAAAAATAGTGGAAGAAAGTCCAGCCAACAATACATCTCCAGAAAACAGTTTGGATAAAGACAACTTTGGAGATTCAAGTGCAGCGTCGCTACCATTCCACTGTCCCTGCTGCAAGACTCTGACTTCTAGAAGTGACGTGGGTATACAGACTGATGAATGCAGTCACAAGAAAACCGTAAGGGTCATTAGAAGATACCAGAAAGATGGAGAGAGCATTGAGAAGTTTGAGGAAGAAGTGTGGAGCACATGAGAACTATGCGAGAAAAATGACATGAAGACAATAAAATACGGTAGTGTTAAATAGAGTGTTTGTGTACCTATTCCTGTATAAGATACAAGAAGTATTTTAACTCAATGTAAGGAAAGATATTCCCGATATTAAAACAATGTATCCATGTATATATGTAACTATGTATGTTTGTCTACTAAAAAGAAAAGTTTAAAAAAAAAGTTTTAAGTATGTTAATCAATTGACATGCGAGACGCTTGTTTATAGAGGCGTGGGTAGTGTAATGGGTAGTGTATTTGGCTATGCCTATCATCACTGAATCTGAGGGGATATTGGAAAATGGAATCTTCCAATAGGCTGATCACCCCTTTGGTAGGTAGAATAAGTCAAGTGTATAAAAGGAGACGCTAGCAGATGCTAGGCCTCTTCAGACAGAATCAGTCGGCTTGAACGCACAGAAGAAAGCTGAAGACGAGAGGTTATAAAGCCACTCTTTAAGAAATAAAGAATAAATAAAGAAATAAAGAGCAAAGGTTAGAAGTTAGACACTAGTGGAAAGGGAGCATTCTAGAGGAATTGTGGTGAGGTACCGGGGCGAAGTAATTCTGAATAAGGGTGAAAGAACCTGGTACTTCACAGAACAATAGGAACTCTGGCTGTTCCAGGAACACAGTGCAGGTTACCTTGCTCTGAAACCACGGCCTACCATTTTTAAATTATTTGTACATAGATCCAATCAATTACAACTCAGATAGAGTAAGAGGAAAGATATATATATACAGAACCCTTGTCCCTTGTAGAACCCAGTAGGTTTACACGTTACAGTATAATAAATATAATTTGTGAGCAAAACATACTACAAGTTCTACTTGGGTGCTTAAAACTAAATGCGAAGCTGTAATCCATTGTCTCAAAGAACGCAAAGTTATAAAACGAAAGTGAATGAGAATTAAAGACTATAGTCTTGGGAGCAGTTGTTATTTCATAAATAATTTGAATAGGTGATATTACCTATTCGAAAAAATTATATCACCTATTCAAAATGATTAAGTAATATCACCTATTCGAATAGGTGATATCACCTTTTTGGATTGGTGATAACACCTATTTCATTTGAATAAGTGATTCCACCTATTTGAATAAGTGATATCACCTATTCGAATAAGTGACATCACCTATTCAAAAGGAATGAGTGATATCACCTATTTGAATGGGTAATATCACCTATTCGAATAAGTGATATCACCAATTCAAATCAAATAGGTGATATCACCTATTGGAATAGGTGATATCATTCATTCGAATAGGTGATATCACCTATTCAGAAGCTGAATAGGTGATATAACTTATTCGAATAGGTGATATCACCAATTGAATAGGTGATATCACCTATTCGAATAGGTGATATCACTTTTTGGCAGTAAATACCAAAACGGCGCCTCATAGATATTAGCTATTCGAATATATAGGTGATATCACCTATTCAAACTGAATAGGTGATATCACCGATTCAAATTTGTGATATCACCTTTTCCTTTTGAATTAGTGATATTACCAATTCGAATAGGTGATATCACCTATATACATTTCTTACATCTTCAAATAATGAATCCTCCCTTCCTCAAGACTATCTAGATCAATGCAAAAGGATGAAATTTTTAAAGGCTTTAAAAGAGCAATTTTATTTTCTTAGCATTGATTCAAATTTAATGACATTGAATTAATTACTCTTGAACAAATGTTTTAAAAAAATATTATGAATTTTTTATGTACTCTTTGTACTTACTATGAGTCATAACCTCTACTATTTCCGCATTGCATTGATCAGATAAAGTGTAGTTTCGCTGTAAGATCGTTTATGGCGCAAAGAGGGGAGCACTGTTTGTAAGTAAAGTTACAATGTATATGTAGTCACAAAGAAAACCCATAGAAAACCCGATTTGCATATAAAAAAAACTAGATTTGCATTGACCCTAAACAAATTCGGGCTGTACTTTTCCCCTTTGTATTAGTCTGAGACATTTTAAAATACCATGTTACCGATCCTTTTGAGGTTATATAAAATTTTACTTGCAGTCAGTTTTGCTGTATTTATTGTAACTTTCTCTCTGTTATAATTATTTATGTACAAAGAAACTGAACTTTTTACTTCCTGTATAGAGTAAATGTATGCAGCACACGTAAAGTTTTGGGAGCGGTTGTTATTTCATAAATAATTTAAATAGGTGATATTACCTTTTCGAATAAGTGATATAACCTATTCAAAATGAATAACAGACTTTTTACTTCCTGTATGGAGTAAATGTATGCAGCACACGTAAAGTCTTGGGAGCGGTTGTTATTTCATAAATAATTTAAATAGGTGATATCACCTATTTGAATAAGTGATATCACATAGTCGAATGGTGATATCAAATATTTGTTTTGAATAGATGATATCATCTATTCAAATCAAATAGGTGATATCACCCATTCAAATAGGTGATATCACCATTTCAAATCAAATAGGTACCAGTAATATCACCTATTTGAATAAGTGATATCACCAATTAAATAGGTGATATCACCTATTCAAATAGGCGATTTCATTTAGTGGCAGTAAATACACAAACAGCCCCTCATAACGTGTATCTTAAAGTGGAATACATGTATAATTCTTACGTAACATGGCTCTGATATATTTTGGATAAAAATGCCAACTTTTCATGTCACACTTGTAGATTTTATCCGGTATCTTTTAATTTTTGTTAATATCTTATTTTTTCCCGGAAATCAAAGAAAATATTTTTAGCAATGAAATCTGACCATTTTTTTCAAACTTCATGGTGATGCATTGCAGCACTGAACCCACTGGGAAAAGATGGCGGAATGACGTCAAAAATTTGGAATGGATGATGCTTTTTAAACTTCCATACAAAATTACAAAAAAATAGCAAACATCAATGGTTTAAACATAGAATTTTAAATAATATTTTAGGCACAAAATCCTATCTAATAAAATTAGGAGAAAAAATGATAAACTCTGTTTCTTCTGTCAATAATAATACATGTTTTGTGGGAATTTAACATGTGCAGACTTTTTAAACAAATTTTGAAGACTGGTACATGTATATTGTGAGTAAAAGACAAGGTTACAACTTCATTCATAAAGCAAAGTTTTATTTTGGGTTTTTTTTTAGAAAAAAAAAAATAGATATACAAAAATTACTGACCTTGTGGATTGAATAATGAGATCAGAAAAAAAAAAGTTGTTTGACTTGCGACATCACATCCTAAATTTTTTTTTATGAAACTCAAAAATATAATTCGTATGAAAATTAGGGATGTCAGATAGGTCAATTTTTGATAATCGGTTACTCGGACGTTTTTCCGATCGAGTACCCGGGAACTCGGTAAAAATTCATTTTTATTAAAAATGAATGGAGACAAATACGTTTTAGACACCAACTGGAATCGATGGAATCAAATGTTTTAATGAATTTGGATACTGAGTGAAATCTTAGATATGAATTATAAGCTAATATGCCAACGCAGTCTGTGAAATGTAAAAGATGTTTAGATTGTGTAATAAATAATTCTAATTCAGTTCTATCAAATTTGACTCTACGTTAATTACCATTTATAAACATGGGTGTTTCAACTTTGTTCCTTAGAAACGTTTTAATTTACCGTCATAAACTAATTCCGTTCCATTCAATTTCGGACAACTGTGTTTCCCCCATCTAGTATATATGGAACCTATAAAAAGAAAGTAAATAGAAAAAAGCGGCAGTGATTAAACATATCCAAATGAAAAAATTGTCATAATTTAGGTTACTAACATACTGATTTAAGAAAAAATGTTTACCGGACTTCTTAGAACTGGATTCCAGCAGTTGAAACTTTTGTTTAAGATCCGCCACTTCTGTTTTGAGAGCTTGGTTTTCTTGCTTTTGGGCCTGAAACTCCTTTGCCAAGACTCTGAAATATTCCACTTCTTGCTGCAAGGCGTGGATTTCAGACTGCATCAGTTGTGGATCACTAAGAAGAAGGCGTTTCTCGTCGTTCAATCCCTCTTCAAAAGGGAACTGAAATAGTAATAAAGTAAACGTAAAAATAGTGAACTTCATTCTGTCTGTATTAAGGATATAAAGGACAATCTCACGTGCAAGTGTGAAAACGACAATTGTGCCGGTGTTGTAGCATTGATTTTTTCCCTGCAAAGTTTTTCTCACCAGAAAAATGGGCCCGGGTTAGATCCCCCCCCCCCCCAACAGAAGAACGCCCCAGCATATCATTGACTCCCGTGCACAAAGTCAGTACACTGTACAGACTTCCCTTTTATATTTCCGGTTTACATCAACCGAAATCTTCAATCTTACCATGTCTGTTTACTCTTTTATTAAAGACATTTAAGATCAAATCTATGAAATACATGTATTATTTTATTAATCGCATTCTTGAGTATTTAATGCTCTCGTGATCGAGCTTAATTGAGCAAAGTATATTTTCTGTCTGTGTTGTCTTTTTTACGTCGTTGTTGCTGTAATCTTTTCACATTTTATCCTCTTCTCCAAAACCTAAGGTCAATTTCGATGCAAAGTACAAAGTAATCTTGGATGAAGAAGATTCAAAATTTATTATACCCCTTCAAAGTAAATTCAATCAAGAACAGACAAAAACAGTGTTCTCAAAAACAAATGGACCAGCAAAAATGAAATTTATTTGAAAGCTTCCTTGTGACGATACATATTCTGTCATTCTTAGAATAGATAAATACTAAATAAATAATAGATTTTTTTCTATATATTCCTATGTAAATCTTTGCCCCCTCCCCCCCCCCCCATTGTGAATCCACCCTACCCCCAGGGGTAATCATTTGAACAAACTAGAATTGACATTATGTAAGGAAGGTTTCCTATAAGTTTCAACTTTTTAGCCCAGTGGTTCTTCAGAAGATTTTTAAAACATGCCACCAACTTCCCTTATTTCTAAATTATCTTGAAAGAGAGAGCGGCTCTTCATTTGAACTAACTTGAATCCCCTTTACCTAAGGATACTTTGTGGCAAGTTTGGTTGAAATTTGCCCAGTGGTTCTAAAGAAAAAGTCGAAAAAGTGGAAAGTTTACAGACGGACGGACGGACGGACAGCTAGACAGACGGACTACAGACAAACAAGATGTGTTTGTGAAACACTGATGCCCCCGTATGGCAACTCATTACAAGGGTTAAACTTTCTCGTATGCAACTCAAATATGTTTGTACCCAAAGTAAGGTCTTATCTCGATGAATTTACCTGTGAAATATGAAAACCCTAGCACCAACCATTCAAAAGTTATATCCAAGGTTAAAGTTTTCCAAAAGTAGGTCAAACTCCAAGGTCAAAGGGTCAAAGTTGTTGGTATCAAAATGGGGTCTTGTCACAAGGATTACATATGTGAAGTATGAAAGCCCTAGTACCAACCGTTCAAAAGTTATGGCCAATTAAGCTTAAAGTTTTTCAAAGTAGGTCAAACTCCAAGGTCAAGGTCAAAGGGTCAAAGTTGATGGTATCCAAAGGAAGGTCTTGACACAAGGATTACATATGTGAAGTATGAAAGCCCTAGCACCAACCGTTTAAAAGGTATGGCCAGGGTTAAAGTTTTTCAAAAGAAGGTCAAACCCCAAGGTCAAGATCAAAGGATCAAAGTTCTTGGTATCTAATTGACGGACTTGTCACAGGGATTACATATGTGAAGTATGAAAGCCTTAGCACCAACCGTTCAAAAGTTATGGCTAAGGTTAAAGTTTTTCAAATGTAGGTCAAACTCCAAGGGCAAGGTCATAAGGTCAAAGTTGTTGGTATCCAAAGGAAGGTCTTGTCACAAGGTTTACCCAGTTTGAAAGCCCTAGCGGCAACTATTCAAAAGTTATGGCCAAGGTTATAGTCTGAAAAAAAAAATGGCAAAACTGGGTCAAATTCCAAGGTCAAGGTCAAAAGGTCAAATTTTATGGTACCCAAAGAAAGGTCACAAAGAATACATATGTGAAATATGAAAGACATAGCTCCAACCAATCAAAAGTTATGGGCAAGGTTAATGTTTTTGCGGACAAACAGACAGACAGACAGCTAGACAGACAGATGGACAGACGGACAGGGTAAAAACTATATGCCCCCGAATCTTCGATTACGGGGGCATAAATATGATCAGAAAAGTTCACTTGAGCTTTCAGCTCAGGTGAACTAAAAGAGAATATAGGCTGATTTATCACATAAATCAAGAATTCCGGTATCTTGGCATATCATTGTGGTGTACACCAATCCTGGACACAATTTCCTGACCAAACCTTTTCTCCCTACAGTGCTTCGAGTAATGCTAAATAAATAAATAAATGTAACTTAACAATTTACAAATTATACTTATCTCACAGCCGTGTACTTTGGCTATTCTTCTGTCTGACTGTGTGTGTGGGTGAGGGTGTGTGGGTGTGTGTGTGAGGGTGTGCGGGCGTGTGTGTGGGTGGGTGTGAGGGTGTATGTGTGAGTGAGGGTGTGTGTGGGTGTGAATCTTTCTCTCTTCACGACCTTAGCAAATATTCATCAAAATAATATATCGGCGACAATTAAAATGTGCAAATGTTTACAGTACATATTGTCGCCGACGACAATATGTGCCGATGATTGACTGTTCACTTTGTCGTTCATTATGCATCAGGAACAAACGGCTAGTCTCGGCAAATATTGTCGCCGACGACAATATGTACAGAAGGACAATACGTACTGTCACAAGGACCCTGAATCGTGCTCAGATTTATATTGCTATTTTTGAGTAAGTTTAAGACATTTTTATTAACATCATTTTTTTTCTTCGTATATCCGAAATATTTTATAGTGTATTTTCTTCGTATATCAGAAATATTCTAAAGTGTATTTTCCATGTAATTAAAATAAAGGAATGGATAGCTTTTTCAGACGTTTAATTTTATGAATTACCAGATTACAGTGAGCTATATAGTTTTTTTTCACACAACATATATGACACCGATTAATTTTACTATGAATTATGACTCAATTGTTGATATTATTATATCAACAATAAACACAACACCAAGCACATTCTCACATCGTACATACAACACACGAAACCATAGTTGAATTTTTATATGGTGGACATGGTAGAGAGCCGCAAACGGTTTTCACAGGATAAAAGAGTCTTCCGTTCTCGTTTTGTCGAGATCTCTCAACGGAATCAGGGTCTTCGTCAACACAAAGGTATTCCAGTTTGGAGTATTTATAATAGTTAGCTGTCAGTAGACCAGAATACTGCTTGGTCCATCCAGTTGGACACGATCGTTTGGCGGGAATCATCATCGAAGAAGTCGCCATTTTGACATGACAGACAGAGCAGGGCACATCATCTTCTACTACCACGTTTCTTAAACTAAATTCATATTCGCCGCCGTAGATATGGCCGAAGCCATTAGATGTAAGTGGATTAGATGCAAGTGGGAAATGATCCGGTAGCAATTCAGGGTCATGTGGTAGACACAAGGTATTGGCACCATTACCATTATCCGCATAATAGCTACCTCCAGCTATCCCTGTCAATTAAAATCATATTTCATTAAAATAGACACAAAACCTTTTGAAAAACTGTTTCAAAAAAAAGTTATAAAGGAACAAATTCAAAACAGCAGATAATATGCATATTCTATATATACGTGTATATAAATACAAATCTTTCCTGGGGTCTTTCAGATATTATTGATTAATTTGTATATTTAAATATTTCATATTATACCTAGAAATATATTTTTTAACTTACCGTCATACACCAATTCCGTTCCATTCAATTTTGGACAACTGTGTTTTCCCCATCTAGTATACATGGAACCTTTACAAAAACATTAAGTGTATAAAAGTGGTAATGATTAAATAAATCCGAATGAAACATTGTCATAATTTATATTACTGACACATTGATCTCAGTAAAATATACGTACCGGACTTCTTGGAACTTGATTCCAGCACTTCAAATCTTTGTTTTAGATCCGCCATTTCTTGCTTTTGGGCCTGAAACTCCTTTGCCAAGACTCTGAAATGTTCCACTTCTTGTTGCAAAGCGTGGATTTCAGACTGCATCTGTTGTGGATCACTGAGAAGAAGGCGTTTCTCCTCCATCAACCCCATTATTCCTAAAGAGAACCAAAATAATGATAATGAAAATGTTAAAATGGTAGACTTCATTCCGCCTCTTTGTATTCTTCCACAAGAAAATGAGATAAGGCAATTAATGACAAATCAAACTTATGTGAAAATGACATTTGCACCGTTATTACAAAATATCTTAAGCACGATTGCTCCCACTCTTAACCCCGCACCTTTACTGGTTCATATTTCCTAAAATGCTGATCCTACAGTTTGAGCTGAATTCAATTAAATGCGTCGCCTGAAAATTGCAATGCTCCATCTGAATTTTGCAAAAGAAAGAGGGCGCATTTGATTGGAATTCAAAAGGAATCTGGGATCATTTGAAAAGGGAAATTTTCATTCATTCGTAACATCTTTTGATTGTCGGATTCCTGTGAAATTGGAAAGGAAAATATTTCCCCGATATTGTGCTCTGATTTCCTTTTAAAAAAATAATAAACAGCTAATCTTTGATACAGCGCATAATACTTATAACTTACTAATCTATCTGACTTTTTATTTTAATTTGAGGAGACATAGGAGAAAATTGACGTTGAAAATGAACATTTATCCGATATTTTTATGCATTTCATTTAGAAATATTGTAGAAATAAACTGCTGATGAGTTTCTCTAACTGAAAATGGTATTTGCGTGAAAATAGTAAGGAAAGAGTTTAAATACAAATTATTGAATTTCTGACAATTTGACATCTTTAATTATAGAAAATCATTTCCATCAGTACAAATCGTAATATATCTATTTTTTAATTTAGTTATAAAAATAAAATAAAATTGATGCCTGGATGTTCGTGTACAGTGATCTTTTTTTTTCTGGGGGGGGGGGGGGGTGTTCACCTGAATCACTAAGGTGCGTTTTGCCATGCCCGTCATCTGTTGAATGTAAACTTTTAAACATTTAAAACTCTTCTCTTGAGTCACTAAACCAATTTCAATCAATTTTAGTAAATTCATGTTGCATAAATGGATAAAGAGAAAATAGTGCATTCTATGGTCTCTTGTTCCCTTGGACCTGAGACGTGTGTCCAAAATCATCAAAATTAATGCAATCTAACAGGAATAAAGAACTTCAAGAAGGTTGTGTGAACAGTCCTGATATATTTCACATGAATTAATAAAATCTTTTTATTCTGAAAACTGTAGAGGGTGACATCCCAACAAAATCAATGTATACTATATAAGCATATTTTGCATAAAAATGATTAAGTTCTGACAAAAAATGGTATTTTCCCAGAAATAATCAAAAATTAAACTTTAGGTACCATGCACATCTCAGATATATGTACTATTGAACTGCAAAATAAAAACTTCTCATCTTGAAAACTGTAGAAGGAGTTATCCAAACCACGACCAACCTTTTTGCAATTAAAAAACAGGATGAGTTCAACACTACGGCTTGATTTTTTTCTCATAGATAGTCAAAAATCAAATTCCAAGAACCATGCACTTCTCTGATATATGTACAATTGATCTGCAAAATAAAAAAGTTCCCATCTTGAAAACTGTAGGAGGAGTTATCCAGACAATGAATACCCCATATGCAATATTTCGCCAAAAAGAAAGAAAAAAAATATGGCAAGTTCAACAGCTCATATTTTTTCTCCTAAATAATCAAAAATTGAATCGAGGTAATTATGCACACCTCTGATATATGTAAAATTGATCTGCAAAATAAGAAAGTTTTTATCTTGAAAACTGTAGGAGGTGTTATAAAGACAAATGATGTACCCAATTTGCAATATTTTGCCAAAAAATGATAAAGTTCAACAGCTGCTCTTTTTCTCATAAATAATCAAAAATCAAAATCCAAGTAATATGTATTTTTCTGTAACATTTAAAATTCATCTGCAAAATAAAAAAGTTCCTTTCTTGAAAACTGTAGGAGGAGTTATTGGGACAATTGATGTACCCTTTTCGCAGATGCCCTCCTGTCCATCCGACCGACCATGCACCTGCGTGCCATTTTCACCATTTCAATAACCAATTATTCCTATGGAAAACCAGGTTTATAAAATTAAATACGGTATACTGACACAACCAAATTAACATTTTAAAAAGCAACAAAATGAATGTTACTAGTACATATAGGAAGAAAAAAACTAACTCAAATTTGGGTCATGATAATTTAAGTTTTTAACTGATATCACCTGCAATTTTAAAAAGGGGTCCAACTTCTTTCTTTTCTCTTTCTCCAAATCACCAACAAAAAAACAAATAGATAATTAAAAACAAGCTCATCAATCTCATAATGCATTAAATTCTGTTCATCTTGAAAGGCATTACTGTCTCTTTTAAAAAAATTATAAGTGTCTGAAATCAGAATGCAGGGTTAGATGCATTATCCATGCAAGTTTGATTCAGGCTTGTGATTACTATAGAATACTAGTAAACCTTATCTAAATATGCTAACTTGGTTACTTATCAAGAAAACATGTCACAGGTACAATGTAGCATCCAAAGCAATGCTGGTGGTACATGTACAAATCGGTTGAATGATGGTGCATCATTCCTGAAAGTTTGGTCCAGATATGGAATATATCATCTGTATAATGTATGTGTACTTGTAAATGGATCTGCAAAAAGAACTTTCACTTGAAGACAACAGTAAAAATGACTGCAACATCATGGGTTTAGCATAGCAAAAGTCCTTCCCAAATCCACAGAGGGGAGCAAAAAATGGTGTGTATTTATACTTCACTTATCAAAACTTGGAAACACTTCATTGATTTGATTGTGGGCAATTCAAATTATCAAAACACATGTACCGGTATGTGTTCTGGTGAGATCTTTATTTTCCAAACCATGCATTATTATCAATATAAAATGTTACATTTCCAAACTGAGAATTCACACCCAAAATAGGATAATCATTTACTGATTTTCCTTCACTTCTACCTAGAATGTCAACTATATCATGTTTATGATGTCCATTCACTATAACCGCAATATTTTTGGCCTTATTTATAACAGAATACAGTAAAGTCATTCTTTTGGGACTAGCCTCAGTTGTGGTCATGGCAACCAATTTATTATAATCTTTAAGCAATGCTGAACTTGGGAAAAGAGATGCAGTGTGCCCATCTTGTCCCATGCCCAGAATTATGAAGTCCATTTGTAACTTTGATATGTGGTGAATCAACTCTGCTTCGTATTCTTCTTCACTTAATTTTGAACAAAGAATACCCCTAATGTCCACCCTCATTATATGGATATTATCAAATGGGATTTGAATATGCTGTAATAGTTCTTCATCAATAGTCCTAAAGTTTGACTGTTGGTCATTGTATGGCACACATCTCTCATCCACTTGCCAAATATGTGTCCATTTCCATGGAAATTTGGGAAATCTTTTCAGTATGGTTCTGTATAGTGGGATGGAACTTGTTCCTCCTGATAAAGCAATGTGGAACCCTCCAGATTTTGCTGCAGTCTCTGTAGCAGTCCTATAGATATTCTCAGCTAATGAAATATACAATTGTTTTTCTGGTTTTACATGCAACATATGACCTAGAAAATGTGATGGAATTGAAGAAATTGATGACTTTTTTCTATCTAATAATTCATCCTCAACTAAATCATATTTTTTGTCCACATATTTTAAAATCTTATTGCCATAATGAAAATTTAAAGAAACATCATTATTTTCCAAATAAAGTCTGGGATATCTGTTTTTAATTTTTTCTACAACAGGGCTCCATATTTTCCATAAGTTTTGTAAGCCTTCCGTTGTCACAAAACTTTTCTTATCTCCCAAATAAAGATCCCGAACAACTGTCACATATGCATTCTCATCCTTCTTTGGAACCACAAAATAAAACTCATTCAAACTTTGTCCAAAAACAAAAGATTCCTGTGAAGTCACAACCATGTCTTCCAGTCCCTCTGTTAACTGTGGAGAAAACAGGTTCTTTGATACCAATATGCCAACAGTGGGTAAACTTCCCGGGTTAATTTGGAAGATGATTTGTTTAGCACTGTGTTGAGAAACATTGAAAGATTTACATCCACATACACACATTATATTGTCTTTGAATATAATTCTAATGTAGCTGGATCTCTCATCTAGAGCCTTCCCAGACATCATGATAATGGGAACACCATGCCATCTTGGGGAATCAATATTTAACAAAGCTGCTGCAAATGTTGGGGTATAAACAGACACTGATATATTTGATTTTTCTTGTTCTGCATGGTGTAAATATTTTGAATATTGTCCAGTCAAAACTTGCTCCTCCTTTAACACTTCCACTTGAGTAAGTAATTTGTTTTTATTCTTGTTGGCTTCTGAGTCATTTTCTAACTTGTTTGGAAGCTCCATTGTCACCAAGGCAAGTAACTCTGTCAGATGGTTTTGCATGACATCCCGGATTACTCCATACTTGTCATAAAATTCTATCCTACCTGTGAACAAAGTATAATACTTAGATATCAACATATACAATATTAAAATATGATTTTTTTTTTATGCTGTAATACATTTAGGAAATACAACCTAAAAATCAAATATAATATAGCACACCTTCTTACCTCTGACATCGATTGTCTCTTTCATTGCTATTTCAATTCTTTCTACTTGTTCATTATTCAGAATTGATTCCAATTTTTCAGCATTCCTTGTTCTAAAAATATGGTTTTTTGGTTTCTTTTTTAAAGTACACTGAGTATTTCAATTTTCTTAATTAAATGTTGAAATTTTTGCAAATTACACTAACAGTAACCGTGTTTAATACATACCTGAAAGGTAGAATTTGTTTTACCACTGACTTTGCTAAATAGTGGTCCACTCTGTAGATTTCCTCCTCAGTAAAATATTTCCCAATTTCTGTTGCCATGGCAAGTGCTGACTGCAGATCACTTCCAAAAGGTTTTTCTAAGACTAATCTAGACCAGGAGTGGCTAGCATTTAGCTTGCAACAAGATGAGAGTTTACCAGCAACTGAAGAATACACATTTGGAGGAAGAGCCAGATAAAATATCCTCCCAAGTTTCTGGTTTGGTTTTTTAATTTCATTTTTCAAAGTCAGTTTTCCAAACATTTGAAACTGATTTTCAGTTTTTAGTTGTACATACTCAACAAGCTGTCTGAATTCTAGTAGTTTTACCCCACAGAAAGTGCTAATTTCTCCTTTACAGCTAACATCATCCAAAATTTTGGACAGTCTTTTGGATCCTTCTTCATCCCCATCTCTGGAAATTCCGTAAAACGAAAATGTTTTGTTGTTATTTTGTTCACTCAAAAAGAGTTGGAAAAAGCTCTGCCATAAATACTTATTGGACAGGTCTCCAAGTGCCCCGAAGAGAACAACATCTGTATGCAACTCCAAACTTGTACAACAACATGTATCCACAATGATCATCAACAAGAAAATAGTTACTGCTATTTTCATCTTGTACATCTGTTAAAATAATACAATACTATATAATTAAAACTGTTTACAAATACTCTCACTATTAATCATCCAAATGTATCATGAAATACCTAATTCTTACATTAAAACAATATTAACTAAAGCATGATAATGGAAATTAAAAAAAAAGAAAACTGAGGCAATCAGGGCTACACAATGTGCTATCTATAGGTCAATAATCTTGACCACCAAACAAGAGCCATAACATCTACCCCAGTTTCATTTAATTGTGTGATGAATATGTAAGTCTGAATGTAAAATATACTCAAGAAAATGAACTGCAGAATACAAGTGTCCCGCTGAAAAAACATCTATGAACTTTGACTGAATGACATCAAAGAGTAAAGATGTTTTCCTCTAATTTTGTTTGTGAAGAGGAAATGAAATTTTAGGGTTAAAAGGTTTTATGTACGTATCATCAATGAACCCTAACTTCATCACCAAGGCCCTCTACAATATACCAATGCAATAAATTCTTTTTTTCCAGTTTAATTTTTTTCCTTTTTTCTTAAACTTGTAAGCATTAAAAGTTTTAAAGATTAAAAGTGGTATTAAATTGCATTTTAAGAAAAGAATCAAGAGGAAAACTATAAGTAACATATTTCATATGTAAGAATGTCACGCTAATTTTAACTCCAAAGTGTAGTGCAAATGTACATGAAAAATAAAATATTTTTAGCCGTATTCAACATGGTATGTCATGTTAAACCTTTGACATAGACCATCATAAAAATGGCTGATAAGTGAAAATATGCATGTTGACACATATATCGAATATATCAATGTAATAGTGTATAAAGGAAAAGGTGCTTAGTGATTTCAAATAAAATGCAAGATACAATAGATTATGTATAATTGTTACATATACCCGGTATGTTTTTGATGCATTATTGAATTTGACTATTATAACTTTTCGATAATTGATTGTAGATTTTCAGTATGCGAAAACCGATGTCATCATAACATTCCCTTACAAACAGCTTGGAGTCATAGGGGCTTTTCTTCCAGATTGTTAAATGTAAAATAAATTAATAAAATTTTGAATCTACTTTATTAAATAAACTACACTTAAAAGTTGTTAAAATAAAAGATTCTGCTGACACTTTCAGACAAGAAAAACCACATTTAAAAAAAACGTACCACACCTATATACATAAACTCTACAAGGGACGAAAGCTCTCATCTTGGAAAAAATACCCCAACCCACTTCAGCGCCTATTTCTGGACTCTAAAGCATTATTTTATTCCGTTGTCATGGTTCTGTCCCTTACAGTGATGATTTTCCTAAATGTTGATGCATTTGTCAGTCGTCAACACGCGTTTAATCAACAGAAAACGGATACAATTTCTTCGATTTGGGGCTCATTTCTCTAAATCAACCTGGGGAGAACGGAAGTTTACATGGTTGCATGGTAGAGATGCAAGGGCGACAATCATGGTATAACATATAGCGCGCTTGTATGGCAAGTGCCCTGTAAATTTTGTAACAAATTCATAATACATTAAATGAAATGAGTCCTTAGCATGTGAAAACCCAAACTTTAGCCAGTATTCATCATTTTCACTGTCTTTTCTTGTCGGTAAACATTTTTTCCATGAAGCTGGAAGTCCTTGGGTGTTACAATTTGCTTTCGATTACCCTCAGAGTTTTCCCTATACATTGATTATCTGCCCTTGCAATTTTGTAAACTTCCATTCTCCCCAGGTCGATTTAGAGAAATGAGCCCCAAATCGAAGAAATTGTATCCGTTTTCTGTTGATTAAACGCGTGTTGACGACTGAAAAACGCATCAACATTTAGGAAAATCATCACTGTAAGGGACAGAACCATGACAATGGAATAAAATAATGCTTTAGAGTCCAGAAATAGGCGCTGAAGTGGGTTGGCCGGGGTATTTTTTTCCAAAATGAGAGCTTTCGTCCCTTGTAGAGTTTATGTATATAGTGTGGTACGTCTTTTTTAAACATGGTTTTTCTTGACCAAAGTGTCAGAATCTCTATTTTAACAACTTTTAAGTGTATTTAAAGATTCAAAATATTTTAATTTATTTTACATTTATCATTCCAGAAGACAAGCCCCTATGCTTGGAGTTTCCAAAAAGTGATAGAGTTATAGTAGTGAAAGAGTTACAGGGTTAAACGATAAATAATATTTTTCATATATATATTATAATTATATTGTAGCTCAGAGGGCAACTAATATCACAAATGGAAAATGATACAAGATATCAGAATACAGGTGTGATAGGCTAGGTCTAAGAACTTAATGTACGAGTATTTTGATAAATTGTCGTTTCTAAAAAAAATTTCATTAGTTTGGGGATGTCGGGGGGGAGGGGGGGGGGGGGTTACACCATGGCATCCACACGTCAGGTGCCTGGAAGTCAAATGTTTCAGGGACTCTCTATGACCAGGTAACGATTGTGCACAAACAGACAAATAAATGATAGATTCTCGATCAGTGGAGGGTGCATAAAAAAGAGGAACACTTACTTTTAACGTTTCATCTAAAGACTCGAACAATCAACAATTTTCTCCTCCTCTGAGTCCTCATTGTCAAGTTAAAGTGAAAGTAGATCATATTCACGCGAGCGCTTTGTTATTCTAAAGAGCGATAACTGAACATGGCTGCAGCAAGACGAATAGGCAAAGTGTCACTGAAGAACACGGCGTTGCTGTTGTGTGACATGCAGGAGAAGTTCCGTGGAAATATAATGTATTATCCACAGATTATTGAGGTGGCCAGGCGAATGTTGGAAGGTGCGAATGCTCTTGACATGCCGGTGATTGTCACAGAGCAGTATCCCAAAGGTAGATAACCCGAGGTCAAATTCTGTGCCTATAAAATTAACATTGATATTATGCATGGCGTAAATAATTCCATCTGCTTTGAATTTATTACTAGATAAAGCGAAAAAACTCCCTCTGTTTTTAAGAGTCTTTATTTAGGTAGAGTTTTTCCCTGTATTAAATTAATTTAGGCTGGCTGTAATTAATTCTATGTTTAACATCACCTGAAAATTTAAAAACGAGAGAGGGACAAAAAAAATATTAAAAAAAAAATCAAACGAATGATTTACTGTAAATATTTATGTATCTTGTAGGCTTATTGTTTAATGGCCATAGTTAGTAAACCTGTCACTTTAAATGGTGGACTCATCGTAAATATACCTCATACAGGGCCCAAATGCAGTCTATTCTTATGAAATGCGTTTTTTCTTTTTGCTAAAAGTAAAAGCGAAGCAGAATGGAAGCAGAAAAATTACCAATCTGTTTGTTTTTTTAAAAATCGCAATATATTTCCAAACCTATATGTACGTTCATGGGTGACGTTAAACATAGAATTAACTAAATTGGACAGCCTTACTGATTAAAATTAATTTTATTTAATGTGTGTTCACTTAATATTTTCCACAGGACTGGGACACACTGTGTCAGAATTAGATGTTAGTCAACTGAAGGTTTTTCCTAAAACTCATTTTTCGATGTTAATCCCAGAGGTTGTGGATCATATAAAAACAATGAAAGGTATGAACTTCAAATATTAATCTTATACGTGAATTAATGAAAATGATAAATGAAACATGTAGCATACTGTGTTGAAACTTTTTTTAGTAATGTAAGTAGTGATGGGCCGATTGTCGCCGACGATCGATTGTCGGTCGTTAGGAGCTCTTCGATGCTACTAATCGATTACAAAATAAATGTCGCCGACATCGCTGACCAAAAAATATATTGTAATACCTAAAATTTATTACCAAATCCATGTGCAAAGAGTTTTAAAGTAGTGATGAATGTTTAAAATATCGAAGGTATCCATGCCATGTTGATATTTACCGCCATGATTGAATATAGGGTCAGACTAATAACAGAAAAATGGACAATATTACGAGGTTTTACTATACACAGAAAAACATTAATAATACAGACGATCTGTAAACGTAATTATAGTCAGGAATACAAGTCCAAATTCTGGATACATGTAACTACTTTTTAAACTTGTAATTCCAAGAAATAAATACATGTAATGCAAGGTGGGACTAATATCAGTAATATTCCCAATCAATATTTTTAGTGAGATTTTTGTAAAAGTAAATTCCCTTTCAATATTTTTTTTTAAGTAAAGAAATCCTTTTTTCCACTTTATTAAAGAAAAAAATAATAAACATTTATGAATATAATTAATTAAATAATTTTTTTTGTAAAAATCTGAACTTAAATCTGAATAAGTTTTACTTTTTTATATTTATTTCATTTAAGTTAAAAATTCGATTATAATCGATTTTTAATCGATTATGCACAGCCGATTATTACCGATAATCGATTATGATTTTCTTCTGATTTCCCATCACTAAATGTAAGTGAATTACATATACATGTATATGTGTACACGTAGCTCTTAGTAAAACAGAGCCCATTTATATTTAGTTGAGCCTTGCTATCTCAAACATCAGTATACCAAATACCTGCGATATATCAAACCTTGTATTTATTTTTCAGTTTGATTTTTTATTTGGATATATGACAAAAATTGTAGATGTCTTGAAATTTTCAAGCAGCCCCTCCAGTTTTGACATATCAAAGTTTGACTGTACATTGACTTTACATGAATACAATACAGTCATAATTGGTAATCTTAAAAAATATGACAGGGACTCAGGGATCCATATTTAGACTTGTTTGATTTTCCAGATATCAACTCTGTGATGATTTGTGGTATTGAAAACCATGTGTGTGTCCAGAACACAGTCCTTGACCTTCTAGAGGACAATTTTGATGTCCATATTGTAGCAGATGCCTGCTCATCTCGAACTATGACAGAAAGGTACTGTATGTTCTATCAAACTGATCTCAAGAAAAGATATGAATTGGCTAGACTGAAAATTTTCCCATCAAGTGAAACTTGACACATTTGCATTTTGGTTGTGCACAGAAGCCTGCCCATGTACATGTATAATTTTTAAAATGATCAGCTCACCTGAGCCAAAGGCTTAAGTAGCTTTTCTGATCAAAGAGTGTCTGGCATCCATCTTCCATGTATGTGTGTCATCTGTAATCTTATCACTTCTTCTCCAGAACCACTGGGCCAATTTCAACAAGACTTGCCACAAAGCATCCTAGGGTGAAGAGGATTCAAATTTGTTCTTATGAAGGGCCATGCCCTTCTCCAAGGGGATATAATTAAGAAATAGTGAAAATTTGGTGGGGTCAGCTCAAGAACCGCTGGGCCAGAAAGGTTGAAACTTTTTTGAAAGCTTTCTGACATAGTGAATATGACAAGTGAATATTCGAGTTTGTTTAAACCATGCCCCCTTCACACGGGGTAGCACAGGGCCACAATTGGGGATCAAATTTTACATGGGAATAATTAGAAAAAATGTTTTAAGATTTTCTTCTTTCAAACAGCAAGGCCATGATTAGTGATATTGCCAGTAATACATGCATCCTCAGGTAGTGCAGATTCAAGTTTTAAGGAATCATGGTCCCCAGGGATAAAGTGAGTCTACAATAGGGGATCAAAGTTTTTATATGGAAATACAGTGTGGAAAAATGTATAAAAATCTTCTCCTCAAGCAGGGTTCGACACTAACATTTTTAGCTTTAGTACGGCCAGACTAGTGCTTTTACTAGTCCGCATGCGATTTTATGAGTCTGTCAAAAAAAAATCAATGTTTTGTAATTTGTAATTTAAAAATAAACATTGCAATGTACTTTTTTGAAATAAACAAAGCATTTACGTGAAATATTTTGCTCCAAGATTCGTTGAAATCTCATGATCAGGAACTACGATTGTATTCCCAATCTCGTTCGTTTTTCTCTGTATATTACATCCAAACATCCGACATCTTTCTTTATATGTCTTACTAAAACATGATCACTTAAATGTTTAATTTCATATCAATCAGTCCTAAAATTGAGCGCCGAATAGACTGTTTCACGATAACTGCGGTACTGCTCTTTTGCAGGGCAAAATGATATATTTTGGTGAAATATGACATAAAAGCAATTGTTTAAAACACATCAATTAATTATCTTTTGACAAAAACTCCGCCAAACAATATTAATTTGCCCTGCAAAAGAGTAGTACCGCAGTTATCGTGGAAGGGCTTAATTAGCTCGGAATTACCTAACTTCCCGCCAAGAATGTAGAAAGCTAAAAATGCATGAGGGGTTTTCCATGCAGTGAACGTTGTCAAGAATCGAAAATCGGTAATTTATTGATTTTTTTCCAGAAAAATTTATTAGTCCGTTCGGACCAATTAGCCATAAATTTTACTAGTCCGAATGAAAATGTATTAGTCTTAGACTAACGGACTATCGTAAATGTTGAACCCTGTCAAGGAGGGCCATGATATTAATATACAAGCATCATCAGGTAGTGAAATTTCAGTTTTGTTCCCCCAGGGTAGGGTGGGACTACAACAGAGAATGAACAGCAGGGCTATGATTAATAATATCAATATGCAAGCATCACCACATAGTGCAGATAGAATTTTTTTTCAAATCATAACCCCCAGGGGTAGGGTGGGGTCACATTAGGTAAAAAAAAGTTTTACATGGAAATATATAGGAAAAAAATGTTTAAAAATCTTATAAAGAACAGCAGGGTCATGATTAGTCTTAACAATATGCAACTCTCCTTAAGTGATGCAGATTCAGAATTTTTTTTTCAAAGTCCTCTTTTGATGAACAGCAGGGTAAAGGTGATTCAGGTGAGCATTGTGGCCCATGGGCCTCTTGTTTTATATGCTTGAAAATTCAATACAATGTGTTATTGAATTGTATATATACATGTATACTTAGTTGCAATAATGTAGCTCTCTCCTTTTTTTTTTTTTTGGGGGGGGGGGAGGCTCTCCAGAAAATATCAGATAAAAAAAAAATCAGAGAGGGCTACATTATTGCATCTAATGTATACTTTGTCAACATTTATATTGTCTATAATATTTTCCAAGGAAACAATTAAATTGAAATTGCAGGATGTATGCCTTTCAACGTATGAAGGATGCTGGAGCCTATCTAACGACCAGTGAGAGCATGCTTCTAGCACTAGTGGGAGGAGCTTCACATCCGCGATTTAAACAAATCCAGAAAATTATCATGACTTCCGCCCCAGATACAGGACTACTTACGACGATCAAAGGAGAAACTGCTGTGTGATTTCATTATTGAAAATAAACATAAATCAATGAGCTTCCTAATGGATTATTCTACTTGAATGAAGTGCCAATTTTGTAATTCTAAAGTTGTAAAAGAAATGTTTTCATCATTTTATTTTCAATCAAAAACATTTCATAAATTATTTCATCTTTCAAAATTCTTTTAATATTACATGTACATTTGATACTTTAAAGTTATAAAAGTCCTTTTTGTCAAATTAATCCAGTTTAAAATTCCCCTATCTTGAAATGGTTGTAAACTGGACCAAAAAACTTGTCACAGATCAGTACAACTTATTTTGATTTTAGGTAGATGGAGAATTTGTGATGCATGTCATACATGTACAGATATTATATAAACTCTAAGTCAAACATTTTTGTATGATATATATTTTATTAATATAATAATAGTATGTTGTTACCTTTAGAAGTGATGAATTGGCAATTTGATGTATTAAAAGCATGTGATCATGTTATTGCTGATTAAAGATGATAAATACATTTGTGAGAAAAATCTTCTTATTCATAAGTGTTTTAAAAGATTCTGCAATATTTCTAGAATACATGTACAAATATAAATGAAGAAAAAACATATACTGGGGGTATATGTGCTATATACATGTGCAGTACAGTATAAACAAATATTTTTGTGTTGCTTGTAGAGTAGATCAAGTGACACTTACAGATCACTTTACCTGGCCTCTGTTTGTCTGTCCATCTATCACAGCCTACATGTATATCAAGAGATAGAAATTGATGTTTTGCTAATGTATTGACTGGAACAATGTCTTTTTAAATACCAGGGTTACCAACCTGGTGACCTTTGATCTTGATCTATGACCTGCTTTTTAAAATACACCATAGTATTGATATTTTAACAATATATCGGTAATGCTTTCTTTGTTTGTTAATGCAGGTATTAACTGTTGCTACTATTGCATTTCTGCAATGTTTGCAACCGATAATCCTGCATTAACAAAGAAAGAAAGACATTTTATTGTTTATGTCCATATAGATAAATGTATTAGGTAGGTTAATGCAAAATAACTTATTAGTAAGTTTTGCTGCCATATGATGGGAAATATACTGGACAATGAAAAGGCATGTACATGTCCCTGTGGGGGGGTTTGGTCAAGCTGCCAATTTTGGGTAAAGGGGAAACCTCTGGTACAGTGCAGGGAACTAATTTTGTTGCATAAATCAGCATAAGCAAAATAAGCATCAGCATCCAGCTAGCATCAGGGTCAGCATTTAAAAAACAGCATTGCCAGGATTAGCATCAGCAAGCTAAGGATAGAACTAGCTTAACTAGCAGTGACCTACTTAAAATCAGCATTGACCTACTAGCATCAGAAAAAAATCATGTAGTTTTTCTTCAGTAAAAAAAAAAGGAAAACAGGGAAAGAAAACTGGTTAAATTGTTTAAAATACTCATATAAAATGAAATATAATGATAAAATGAGTATATACATTTACATTGTTTTAAACTGCAACGCTGAAATCCAGTTATCTACTCCCATGCTTCGGTAGCATTGACCTAATTATAAAACAGGATCAGGATAAGGATAACTAGCATTAAATCAGCAAGCAAAGGAAGCATTCAAATCAGCATCGATACCGTAACAAAATTAGTTCCCTGCACTGTACTTACAAAATATAATGTACACTGATGCAGACCAAAAAAAATATGGGACTCATTCACATAATAATTCTTCACTATTGAATGCTGAACTGAGGTCAAAATTTTAACCACATGCCCACACCCTATGTTTCACAACGTAATTTTGGAAGCTTCAAATAGTTGCACATTTAATTGCAGTAAAATTTCATTCACACCTAACACCATCTTCACTAGCCAAGGGTTTTCGGTCCACTCTGCTCCCCATAGACACTAGCCAGGGTTTATGGGGAACAGAGTGGACCGAAAACCCTTGGCTAGTGAAGATGACCTAGTAATACCATTGTCATCCTTTAATATGGGAAACCTCAGATAGTTGGCTAAGTGTACATGCACTTTGCAAAAATTATAATCAAGTGAAATGTTATCTTTCAAAAAATGGCACCATGTAGTTGATATATCAAGGTCAGGAATTTCCAGTGTGTAATATGGGGGATGGGGCCTAGTCCCTGTAAGCTCCTGGGAATGACTGTAATTTACCTTTCTTACATAGATGTTTGACAACAAAACTATATAATATTTGAATTATTATCTTTTTTTTATTTGGTTTTAGAGGGGGCACACACCAGGAGTGCCCCCACCTGAATCTGTGCCTGAGTCCTCGAGCACATGCTATCAGTAATCTAATTTTTACACAAAAATGTGTGTATTTTATGTTTATCCTTGTACTATCACCTGCATATGGTGTTTACGTCTCCCCACTAATTCGATACTTAAGAGCATGCTCTGAGGCTACTGACAGATAAGTTGATGTTACAGGGATTTCAACAACCTTGTTTAAAGTCAGCATTTCGTAAATTTTATGGTCATTATAATAATCTTATTAACAAAATAATCTATCATTGGGTCATATTTTGGCTGACGTGTTTCATACCAATTAGCCCTTTGTATTTATACTTAATTTGACTACAGAATGTTCTGTATACCTGATCAATACATAGGGCTCACAGCAGGTGTGACTGGTCAACAGGGGATGCTTACTCTTCCTAAGCACCTGATCCCATCTCTAGAATTTCTGGGTGTCCGTGTTTTATTCCCTGTTCACAAATTTGTATTGGTTGTAGATTTTTTTTAAATCAATCACTTTTTGTTATCCTCACCTTTTTCACTGTGTAGAAATACCAGCTAAAATATATATTACTGTAAACAGGGAAATTTTTGCCTCAGTTTTATTTTCATCCCTTTCACCCTAGACACAAGTGGGCGAATTTAAGATGGGACTTATTCAAAGAAAACAGTATAATTTCTAAAACAGATCTGTAACTGGGCGAATTAAAAAAAGGGGCAAAATTGTTTGCAAGTGTGAAAGGGCAAATATAACCCTGTATACAGTAGTATTTTTTTAAATATTTTTCTTTGATCTTCATCTGATATCTATTCAAAAACCACAGGCACTTATTAAGAATATCTTGAAAGTTTTAAAAGTACTCATGTTATGTACATTGCTTCATGACCTTAACAGGCTAAGAGAGGAATAATATTGCACCTGATGTGAACAAATATTTTACAAACATTGAATCCACACTTTTGAAAAGTTACGTCTCTTGGTAGCCCATCTTGGGGGGGGGGGGGGGGCGCATAGAATTCTCTCGCACTGGCATTGCAACTTTCAGGTTTGTAACTTTATCAGTTGACTAAAAATAATCGTTGGTTTTTGTATTTTGATTGCCCCTAGATGGGGCTACCCATACATTGAAGGAAAAATATTTAAAGACAGTGAATATTTATTGCAGGGTACCAAAACGCTTGGTAGTGTAAAGAAGAAAAACATTGCATTTTTTCCCTATTGACCTTTTGGTTGACCTCGCGAAGGTAAACAACTTCTGCGAAGTGTGGATTGGACCATACAACTACTCAACAAGGCATCGTTACAGGCAATGCTTCTCCGTTTAAAGAGATTCGAATTTTCCCGCGTTCTTTCATTTTGCAAAATCAGAGGGATTCCGAATGTCCCCGAAGCGGCCTACGGTGAATTTGTGTCATAAAAATGCATTCAATATTTCGAAGTTGCAGGCGATTGACAGCGCATTATAAGCTTAATTCAGAATTTCAGAGACGTCGAGAGTGGGTCAGATGTACCGTGCATTCACATAAATACACGTCAGAATGCGGACAAACTTATGATGACGCATTTTCCAGGTCGATCAACAACCCTTCAGAGTTTTGGGGTGAAGCATCAGAAGATATTGTTTGGCACAAGAAGTGGACGAAAGTTTTGGATGATTCCAATTCCCCATTTACTCAGTGGTAAAGCTAAACAGAGTATTTTATTTTTTTTTTATTGACGTAATTGAACTTACTTTCTTTTGGAAATGGTGTATAAAGTTTGTTGTTGAGAAAACCAGCTTAGAGTTCTCCCCCTTGGTAACTGAACAGTTGTTTTTGTATTGTTCTTTTTTGTGTAAAGAAAATATAAATGATAATACTTCCCAAAATTAATCAGTGCTAGTATGGCCTTTTATCATGTTTATGTTGATTTTTAGAGCACTGAACTGACCATTTAAAAGCAGACACTTCCCCCCTCCCCCAGTCATTTGGGGACTTTTATTACCCATCTCCTGCACTCTACCTCTTCAGTAGTTTTGTTATATGTCTTTTACAACGCGAAATGTAATAACAACGCAAAATGTAATAAACCGGGATTATTGCATTTTGCGTTATTTTTTGTAGAGATCAATGCAAAATGTAATAACACAATATTATAATAACCCGATTTTTAGATTATTACATTTTGCATTGTTAAATGTTTTACATGGAGATTAAGCAAAATGCAACAACGCAAAATGTAATAACACACTTTTTGGTCAGTCAGGTTGAAAATAATTTTCAATTGAGTAGTGGATGAAGAAAATAAACAGAAATAAAACAAAAGGAAAAATAAACATATGCTAATTCTTACATTAGATCTGATTTCATCATATATTGATTTCATTAGCCATTTAAAATCAGTTGGTATTCAAATCATAGGTTTTGCAAATTAAAAATGTGATTGCGCACATGTGTGTGTGTTGGGGGGGGGGGGGGGGGGTCCTTGATCAGTGTATCAGTTTGCTTTTTCTGTTTGATAGGCACATGCATGAAATTTAGAAAAGAAATCTATTTATTTTTACTGGCAGATGTAAATATAGTGGGAAGGGGGGTTCTTGGCAAGTGAGATTTCATGCTGTTTTAACATTCATGTGCATTACAGACCAGCAAATATAAAACTCTTTATCTCTCTCTCTCTCATTCTCTTCAAATAAATGGATAGTTTCTGCATGCGCATAAAAATACAATAAACAACATACGAAGTAACCCCTACCCCTCACTTCTCCTCGCCAGACACACACACACATGCACTTCTAATTTGCTTACCAATGTACACATGCACATCGTACATGCATATCAAGAGATTTTAATGGACCCATGGTAAATCTTTGATAATTACCATATATACTCGCCTATAAGTCGGTTTTTTGGGATTAAAATTTTGGTCCAAAACTCTGGATCCGACTTATAGGCGAGTCATATAAAGATTGGTATTTTTCTGGACAACAAAAGGTACTATTTTATAAACAATCTCGCCGATTATCTTTAAGCAACGTCTTCGTATATTAAAATCATTTAGGTATTCTAAGATTATTCATAAAGTACAATATTTATAAATTTTAATAGTTTTATTAGATCTCAAGTGTGCATTGCTTTATTTTTTAATGATTTAAAATTAAATATCTACGTCATATTTAAGAAATATTTATTGAAATGAGGTTAAAACATCATAACATTAATTTGAAATTGACAACCAATTCTGGCAAAAAGTTGTACTGACTTATAAGCAAGTCAGTGGCAAATCCCTTGAAAATAACTGCAAAAAATACAACCAACTTACAGGCGGACCGACTTATAAGCGAGTATATATGGTAAGAATGTCAGTGATGGATATATGATACAGACTGGTTTATAAATAGATATGCCAATCAAAGTTAAGTCTGTTTTTTCTATTTAGTAAAGTGACTTTCCCCATTCTTATATGTTTGAATCAATTTTTTGATGTTTTGCGTTGAAAACAATACAAAAAAATAATTATATTTTGTTTTATTACATTTTGTGTTGTCCTCAACGCAAAAATTAAGTAATGCAAAATGTAACAACCAAAAAGTGCATCATTACATTTTGCGTTAATCCCTACGCAAAATGTAATAGTGCAAATGTAATAATGCAAAATGTAATAATCCAAAATTTGTGTTAATACATTTTGCGTTATTACATTCTGCATTGATCTCGCTGCAAAATGTAATAACACATAATGTAATAATCCCAGTTTATGACATTTTACGTTGTTATTACATTTCACGTTGTAATGATATGTCAGCACACCAATGCCTTGTAGGATCCTGCACAGATGGCATGCTCTTATTATTGACATTACGACAATGTGGCAATGTTGTTGAAGTACTAGTAGATTACATCAGTGTTTCTCCTTTTCAACTTTCTCATCCATTTTAGAGAGCAGTGGTGATCGTCATCGAAGACTAGCAGACCATTAAGACTTCTATTCAACATATAATGTCTGAAATACTGAATTATTAAAACTTTCAACCCTTCCTTCTCACCTGGTTTACAATGAGTGTCAGATTAACGAGTTTTTCATGAAAATTTTGCATAAATTGTATGTTTTAGGTTTGTGGGAGGAGAATTGAACACATGCTATAATGCAGTGGATAGACATGTGGATTCAGGCAATGGGGACCAAGTGGCTATTATATTTGACAGTCCTGTCAGTAAGCAAATGGACAAAATCACATACAAAGAACTTTTATACCAGGTAAAAAATAAAATGAAAAAATTGTACCACAGTATTCACTTTTGGATTGACACTAATATATTATACTTACTGTGTTTACTCTGAAATAAACCTTAAACCTACCCGGTAATTGTTGCCATTCTAAACTATATTGGAGGTTGTGTTCACTTGTATGTTTTATAAAATTGTAAGAAAATGTTATTTGCCTGTTACATGTATATGTAGCTGCTCACTATACATGTATATGTTACTCTTTTTTTTTTTTAAAACATGATGCCCTGCCTTCCAGGTTACTCATCTGGCAGGTGCCCTGAGGAAGCATGGGGTAGAGAAGGGGGACAGGGTACTGATTTATATGCCCATGATCCCCCAAGCTATTATTGCTATGATGGCCACGGCCAGATTAGGGGCAATTCATTCTCTTGTTTTTGGAGGGTTTGCAGCAAAGGAGCTGGCAGTTAGAATAGATCATGCAGAGGTAAGAAAAATTCAGTAAATCGTAGGAATCATTCATTTACACAATGTTGGAGAATTCTCAGATCAAATCTGGTAGAGATCCTGTGTACCATTAATTGTTTTTCAGTAATGGTCTCATGCATGTTTACATTAAATCAATTAAGGCAACATCTTAGAAAAAGGACAATAATTTATTGAGAAAGTGCTCTCAATATTTTTTGCGGCATATTTATTCCTTTTTTTATTGCACATTTCAGCCTAAGGTTGTCATTAGTGCTAACTGTGGGGTAGAACCTAATAGAAATGTCCTGTACAAACCCATGCTGGATGCTGCTTTAGAAATGGCCACCCATAAACCAAAGAACTGCATCATTTACAACAGACCAATGGTATGATGCCTGGAGTCCTAAGAGACATATTTCATGGAATCAATTAACAATCTAAAAAATATGGCATTTTTATGCCCTGCCATGAATATGGCCGGGGCATATAGTGTTTCTCATGTCCGTCTTCCGTCCTTCTGTCCTTCCGTCACACTTTGCGTTTAGCTCTGTTCAAAGCTCAGTTTCAAAGAAACTATCCAAGATATTTTTATCAAACCATTCAAGATAGTGTTATCAAACTTCATATGCTGATACATACTGATGAGAGCTATTCAACTGCATCAACATTTTTTGACCTTGACCCTCCCCTTGACCTCACTTTTCTTAAATTAGTGTCAAACTTCATATGCTGATACATACTGATGAGAGCTATTCAACTGCATCAATATTTTTGACCTTGACCTCACTTTTCTTAAATTAGTGTTTAGCTCAGTTTTAAAGAAACCATTCATAATATTTTTATCAAACTTCATATGCTGATACATACTGATTAGGGCTGTCACGAGTACCCGAAATAACCGAGAACCGCGGTCCAAGTTGTTCGGTTCGGTTCCGGTTCCATTTTTCCGGATTTCGGTTCGGGTCTGGTTTATATATTAGAGTCTGTTCAATACAAAAAATGGCGTCGAAATCAAAGGAATGAGGACGATAACAGTGATAAATAAACGTCACAACTGAAATTTACTTCATTCCATGACAAAACACTTGTCACGGAAGTGTTAGATAATTATCAAAACGAGCAGGAATGGTCAGGTTGTGACTAATAGTAGGCCAAGTCACCGATGTCTAGACGTTTTCAATGTAAATTTAAAGTAACAAATAAAGATTTTTCAAGTTAATTTCATGAAATTAAGTTTTAAAATAGATGTAAATACCCGACCCGAAAAACCCGAAACCGAACCGAAAATTTACAGACCCGACCCGACCCGAAAAATTTTGGAACCGTGACAGCCCTAATACTGATGAGGGCTATTCAACTGCATCAATATTTTTGACCTTGACCTTTCCTTTGACCTTGACCTCACTTTTCTTAAATTAGTGTCAAACTTCATATGCTGATTCATACTGATGTAAGCTATTCAACTGCATCAATATTTTTTTCACCTTGACCTTTCCTTTGACCTTGACCTCACTTTTCTCAATTTGTGTTAAAATTTTGCATTACTACTATACCCTCGGTGGGGCATTCATGTCCTATGGACATATTTCTAGTTGTTTCTTCCTCTAAAAAAACATGTAACTTTAAACTTTTTTGTTTTAGTTTCCATTCTGCACATTTAACAAAGGTCGAGATTTAGACTGGGAGATAGAGGTTGAGATGTCTAAACCAGTAGACTGTGTCCCTGTGGGATCTATGGACCCCGCCTACGTTCTCTACACCTCAGGGACAACAGGGCTCCCAAAGGTTTATATTTCCTTCAAAACATCACTTTCTCATGTACTTTGTAAAATTGAGCACAGAAGCTCATAGTGCTGGTGTGCATTATATTTAGTAATATTTATAACCTCTCCTCTCCCCCCTTAACTTTCTAATGAAAAGTCATCAGAATTTCATACTTCACACAAAGATTATGTGAGGGTGCATGTGTAATGATCTTGACCCAAGGTCATTCAGGCAAGTTTAAAGTCACTTTTAGTTGACTACCCCTGGTATATAATACTGTCCTGGCCATATCTTGACTTGTAATGAAAAACATTGGAGCTCATACATGGCACAAATATTGCCTTTTACCTGAGGATGTGTCATAATCTTGACCCAACATGAACTTTAAAGTCCCATGATGTGGCAAGGTAAATTTCAGTGTTTTTGTTATCTTTGCTTACTTTTAAATGCTGTTTGACTTTTTATCATTATTTGTTAAGGCGGTGGTCCGGCCAAGTGGAGGTCATGCCGTGGTCCTGAAGTGGTCAATGTGGAATATTTATGGTCTGAAGCCAAAGGAGGTCAGTTCATAATACCAGCATTTATAAATAAACTAAATTTTTAAATAAAAATACATGTATCACTGAAATAAATAATCTTGTAGAAAATGCAACTGAAATGATAGAGTAATATTTTGGACTGTAATTTTCTAAGGTGTGGTGGTCAGCTTCAGATCTGGGCTGGGTTGTAGGACACTCCTACATTTGTTATGCCCCTTTACTCAATGGAAACACTACCATAGTGTACGAGGTAAGATAATTGAGCAGATATTGTACAATTTTTTTTTCTATTTATTTGACATATTTTGTTTAAACTGTGAATTACTAGTATGCATAATAGACAAATTTGTTTATCATATATTAGAACTTGTCACTGTACAAAAAAAAAAGAAAGAAGAAAAAAAATGAAGAGACATGAAAAATCTGCTAAATTTCAAAAATTCCCTTTTACATGTATAAAATGTTTGGGAAGTAGCACTAGGTAATAATATGGTAATTTGTACTATTTTTCTGCAGGAACTAACTTAATTACTGTTTAATAAAGGCTCCATAACCTGTGTTGACTGTTCTTTTATAGGGTAAACCTGTGGGTACCCCTGACCCTGGTGTTTACTTCCGCATTCTGAAGGAACACGATGTAGCAGGGATGTTTGTAGCCCCTACAGCAATCCGGGCCATTAGAAGAGAGGTAAATATATGTCCCTCAGCATATTCCTAACTGATTTATATACCGGTACTTGCTGTCTTTTAAGGGGTTTAAATCTTGCTTTACCAATAAGCAGGTTGTTGATCTTAATGTTTTAGGATCCAGATGCCTCTTTCGCTCAGAAGTACCTTCCACTGCCAAAGTAAGTACCGTAAAACACGCTTATAGCAAACACACTTATAATGAATTAAACGCTTACAGAAAAATGATTTTCATACCCTGTGGTTTTTAAATATATTGTGAATGTAATGGGTATAACAAATTATGTTTATAATGAAGCAAATTAAATTGTACATCCCTGGCACTTTGTTATAAGTGTGATTTACTGTAAATGTATTCTGTATGAGAATTTTGAAATATTCAATGAGGATGCAAATAATTAAATATTTAATTTTCTCTATTTCTTACATGTATATCCATAAAATACATGTATATGTATCCTGACATTTATTGTATAAAATGTAATCATATTCCAATTAAAAAATTTTATGCCCCTAAAATTATATACCAGGGGATATATCGTGAACAATTAGTATACACTCCATATATAGCAAAGTTGGTCAAGAGCAAAAGTTCATACATTGACCTTTTATATATAAACTTCAATGACAGATCTTGGTTGTCATGAAAATCAAAAAAAAAAATTCAAAAAACAAAACCTGTGAAATAAATGTGAACTTTTTATACATTTGCAAGTATTTATCTGTATTTTGACCTCTGTAGGTTTTGAATACATGTATTGTAAGAGTTGCGTGTATCTTTCTGTATTTTGACCTCTGTAGGATTCCAGTATCATCAGATATACGTGTGTCTGTCTGTGTTTTGATCTCTGTAGGTTTCGAGGTCTGTTTGTGGCCGGTGAACACTGCGATAAGGAGACACTGGAGTTTGCTCACTCTGTTCTGAACGCTCCTATACTGGACAACTGGTGGCAAACAGGTCAGTATGGGAAACTAATACATGTCTTTATTAAAAAAAAAAATTTAAAAATATACTTAATATTTCAACAATATTTTAAAGTCTTTAAAAAGACAAACAAATTATAGCACAATATACATATATAGTAATTGATAAATATAAGAATTTAATATAAGTGTATTTTTGTTACCAAATGTACATGTACTGAGTCTAGGGCTGTGTTTTATTTACAGAGACTGGGTGGGCCATCAGTGCAACTTGTGCAGGGTTAAATATGTCCTTGTCCCCACCCTCAGGGGCTGCTGGCAAATCTGTACCAGGCTGGAATGGTAAAAAATAATTACTTAAGAAATATCAAAAGTAATGAGTCATTGTCTAGCTTGTCAACTACAATAAGTGACTCAGAATTTTTTTTTTGATTTCTCTATATAGCAGATATTGTGGTTTTCAGCTCACCTTCGGTATAACTTAGATTTTCTGATCAAAGAAAGCTGTCTGTCTATGTCACAAGTCATCTATAATTTTTTTGACCTCTTTTGTGAAACCACTGGACCAATTTGAACCAAACTTGACTCAAAGCATTCTTCAGTGAAGGAGACTCAAGTTTATTCACAGACCAAACCAATGGGATCAGACTTGTCGAAATCCGTCGGTCCTGTAGGCAAGGCTGGTAAAAATTTGTCTGGACTGATAACTTTTAAGAAAATGTCGGTCCAAATGACCGTTTGAAAAAAGTCGAGCGTGACGCAGATTTAAAAATGGTCGGGATCGGGATATGCAACTAAAGGTCACAAACACCACAGGAGTCGGCCGTTTTATCAATAAACGAGAATTTATTGATAAAACTGCCGACTCCTGTGCAAACACAGAAAAGATGGCCACATGATCGGCGTGGTGACAATGGTCAATTGAATTTGTTACAGCAAAGACATAAAATATGTCATTTATGTCTCTTATTAAAGACTCTCTATCCTAAGAAAAGAAACTTGTGAGACTGAAGGCTGTTGAAAATAATAAAGGGCATTCTGGTGCTGTTATTCATTTTCTTTTCTCAGCATCAAAATAAGGCACATGTATCTGGTCTGACAAAACTTCATCCGGTCTGACAGAACATTTGACTTTGTCAGACCAAATTTCTGACAGTGATTTCAAAATTTCGACAAGTCTGTGGGATAATTAAGAAGTTCAAAATGAGAAGGGTCATTTAAACATCTTCATCTTGTGAACCACTGAACAAGAGAGACAAAATTTATGTGAAAGCTTCCTTATTGGGAATTGGTTGGATATGATTAAGTCATGGCCCTCAAAATTCATTATTTAAGGAAATGAATTTAATAGCTACCCAATTTATACAGTATAAACTGGGTTGGGACAGTTTATGCTCTATAAACTGTGAAGCAGTTTATAGAAAAGCGTAAACTGCTCTAACCCAGTTTTTACTGTATATATAGGGTATCAATTAAATTTATTCATTCCGTATAATTTAATTTTCATTCATTAACTAGTGTAAGAAAATAAGACAATTAACTGTCCTTAAGATGACTTCAAATTGCACAAAATTTAAATGTAACATCAGGGGGACGCAAGTCATTGTGATGTAGGCAACACAGTTTATATGATATAAAGTAAATTTTTCATCCAATCAAATGGCGGGCTACAAACAGAATATGTAGGAAAAATCATTTCAAGACCAGAAAATTGCAAGCATTCCTATGTTGTGTAGCTTCAAGTTTGTTGGAATGAAATTATGACCCAGGCTTGGACAAGAGTTGGAATACAAAGGGGATGCAAAGTTTTATTCAGAATTATATAGACTTAGGCTGGAACACAAGACTACAATTTGTAAACTTCATGTAAGCCTTCAGATACTGTCAAAGTTGTTGAAATGGTGGACTTCAAGTGGATGGCTATAATTTTTATTTATTTACATTCTCATATTGTCAGGATGATAAATGAGACTTAGGTGAGTGTTGTGATCCATATATAGGCCTCTTGTTGTTTTCTTTATAGTTCAGGTTTTAAGGAAAGACTTCTCACAGGCTTCCACTGGTGAGCTGGGAGACATTGTTGTCAAGTAGGTCTGGAATAGATCATATACAGTCAACTTTCATATACTATGTAATGTGTATTAAAGTTTTAGAGGTAACATATTTTGTTTGATGAAAGAGTGCACATCCATTTGGAAGATACTGTGGTGTGAAGTTAAAAATTTTCTTTTCATAGGCTGCCTTTGCCACCTGGAGCATTTAGTACTCTGTGGAAAAATGAGGAACGATTCAAAAAGACTTATTTCGAAAGCAAACCAGTATGTTTTTATTTTCTGTTTATCAGGAATGATTGGAAGGGGGTGGGGGGTATACAGTACCAGTACATGTATCACAGTTCATGTATCAGCAAAGAAATAGAAAATGAAGAAATATTTACAGAAATTTATGTGAATTTATGCATTTACACTTTTTTTTAAGACTGACTTAAGCTCTGTTACAGACTAACTCACTTCTTAACTGGATCTATTTAACTATTAATTAGTAATAATTAATTAAAAAGACCTTGTAGGGATATTCTGAAACCTTCTGCTCTGGATTTTAGCTAAAAAACACATTTCATAGTTTGTAAACGATGCATGTATTTCTTCGCATTTTATAAGTATTGAACAAATGAAGTACAAGGGTGATTAAGAAATACACAGCCTTAGCATCTTTATGGAACTAGACAGGATTTTCCTGCAAGCATATGACATCATTTACTTGTAGAAAATTCTTGACACAAATCATTATTTTCTCAAATTCTGTCAGAAAATTGTTGCTGATGCAAAATAGCAGAGGTCTCCAAGATAGAGTTTTCATGTAGATTTGAACACAGGCAAGTGATTAGGTACATTGTATTTGTTGAGACCGATTTTCAGAGAAATTAAAATGTTTACATTAGAAGTGTTCCTTATTACTCAAAGATAAAATTTGGGGTTGTGGAGTTTTAATAGTAGAGCAAATCTACAGATGCTGAAATTAAAAATTTAGTTGCTTAGTTTTTAAAGATAGGGGGTGGGGGCAAGATTTTCAAGATTCGTAAGTATTATGGATATTGGTTGGTAGAGTTTTCATGTATTTCAAGGGAAATTTTGCACATGGAAAGTTATCAACAAGATGGGTTGTAATGTAATGAGTGATATGATAATTTGGTGATCCTTATATAGTTGTCTTCTGTCATTATAGGGCTACTATGACACCATGGATGCAGGCTATAAAGATGGAGAAGGCTATGTTTATGTCATGGCAAGAAGTGATGATGTCATCAATGTGGCTGGCCACAGACTCTCTACTGGTGCAATAGAAGAGGTGCAAGCTTTTAATACCTGAAATAATGTTCATTTAAATAGACATAGTAATGTCTGCCAAAACAATTTAAAAAGTTTAATGTCAATGTATTCTTAAAGTTTAATTGTGAAAGTAATCTAAATCTTGTTTCTATATCTACTTGTATCTAGGCAATCATGACAAGTGAGGATATAGCAGAGGTGGCAGTGGTGGGAATACCTGACACCCTCAAAGGACAGGTGCCCCTAGGACTGTGTGTACTAAAACATGGTAAGTACACAGTGTCTACCACACACCCTCAAAGGACAGGTGCCCCTGGGACTGTGTGTACTAAAGCATGGTAAGTACACAGAGTCTACCACACACCCTCAAAGGACAGGTGCCCCTAAGACTGTGTGTACTAAAACATGGTAAGTACACAGTGTCTACCACACACTCCCAAAGGACAGGTGCCCCTGGGACTGTGTGTACTAAAATATGGTAAGTACACAGAGTCTACCACACACCCTCAAAGGACAGGTTCCCCTGGGACTGTGTGTACTAAAGCATGGTAAGTACACAGTGTCTACCACACACCCTCAAAGGACAGGTGCCCCTGGGACCGTGTATACTGAAACATGGTAAGTACACAGAGTCTACCACACACCCTCAAAGGACAGGTACCCCTGGGACTGTGTTTACTAAAATATGGTAAGTACACAGTGTCTACCATGCACCCTCAAAGGTACTCCTGGGACTATGTATACTTAAACATGGTAAGTTAACAGTTATTGGAATAGAAGTGCTACTATAGAAATAATAACAAATTGTTGGAAAAACGTTCTCATTTTTACTTTTGAGTGATTGAGAATTCTGAGTTGCTGAACGTACTTGTGATAGTTCTAAGGGTTAAGGCAGAACTGGCAGTGTTCTTCTGATATATGATTTCCAGTGTAAGAATGATGTTCTAGTGCAGAATCATAAGTTGTTTTATTGCATAGATTTTTATTTGCTCTTTGAAAATATTTACAATATTTATCAGTAATTTCTGCTGCTTAGTTTTTGCCAGTTTGGTCATTTATAGAATCTTAAAGTTAAGTGGATTCATTTTTTTTCCACTGAAGTCAAATATTTATGTTATATTGAGGTAGAAAAAAATACTATTTACAATAATGAGTTTTCTTCACTTGAACAGGAGTGCATAAGTCTGCAGATGAAGTTTTAGATCATGTCAGAGATGTAGTGAGAACAAACATAGGACCAGTGGCAGCCTTCAAGCTCGCAGTCATCGTCCCCAAGCTACCAAAGACTCGAGCTGGAAAGATAGCTCGTAGTACCATAGCTCTCATGGCAGCTGGACAGCCTTTCAAAGTGAGCAAGAAATATAAAGTTTATTTATATCCTCCCTCCCCTTAAAAAGTTTTGGAGGAAACACCATGTTTGTCTTTTCATATCAAGGTGAAAAGAATATGAGAGGTTCCTGACTGAAACAAAGATGACCAGTTTACATGTCACAACTTATGCACAAGTTTTTTTGTTTTGTTTTTTTTTCAAGTTAAAGTTATCCCAGATTATGTGTTTGTGTCTGTGAAACATTAGAAAAATACTCCTAACCAAGATATTTTATATGTACTTGACCCTGAAGCAAGTCAAGTACGTTCAAAGTCATTGGTTGGAAATGTGTAGTTGAACTTATATATAAAAATGCTATTTTTTTTAGGTCAAGTAAGTCACAAAGGTGACTGGTTGCTATCTGTTTCCATTTGTCTTTGTCCATTGCATTAATATTTCAATATTTTTCAGCTTCTTCTCTGAAACAGATAAACCAGTATCAAGCAAGTTTGGTATATAGGATCTATGAGCAAAGGAGAACATTGGTCTCTGCCTTCCTAGGTCTGCGGGATGGGGACAAAATTATAAGAAATGATGCTTTTTTTCAAAAATCTTTCTCAAGCAGTCAAACTGTTGGCATGATTATGAACTCTACCAAATGTTTGAAATTCATGGCCTCTGGATTCAGGCTCAAGAGTGGAGCTAATTTGGTCAAATATTGAAAATGCATTTATTGCATGATTATGAGGGAAATATTAAGATTTATTCTGCCAAGAAAAATCATATTCCCCAAGGGCTCCAAATTTCAGTCCCCCCTGACCTATGATTCAAATCTCAGAGTGGGGCTAAGTTGGTCATTGATTGAAAATCTTTTTCATTTACTCATGGTCACCCAATAGGCAAATTGTTTGCCTGATTATAATGAGCAGCTAGCCCCCCTACATGAATCCAGAGTTTCAGTTCAAGGTGGCCAAAATGACTCTAGCTTTACAAACTCATGGTACGCACGTGACCCTTAAGACCCAATGGGCCTCTAGTTTTGTTTTGTTTTGTTTTGTTTTGTTTTTTTTTTTTTTTGCTTATCTCAACATGGATTGCGTTTTAGGAGCATCCAATTTAATAAGTAACCTTAAATACTAACTCAGTTCTCAGAGAAGGTGCGTCTAGGGATGCTTACAAAATTTTCAAATGCTAAATCTTAGTTATATTTCCTAGTTGTGTGTTTAAGTTTATAGAGCAGGTCCATTCTTAAGTAATAAATTATAAGCTATTACCTGCACCAGACTTGCATTAGAAAAATGCAGCTAGGGATACTTACTGCCATGCATGTTTCTTTTGCAGCTTTTATGCCTAAATGATCAGGTTTAAGTTTTTGAAGAAGGTCAATTGCCTTAAACCTATGTGTCCAAACCAGCATGGATGATGCATGTATATGTAGAGATGTTTACTTCCAGTCATGGTTTGGTTGCTACATCCAACTGTTTTTTTTTTCTCGGATGAGTATCCAACTTTAAGTTTTATGAGAAAATCCATTTTCATAGTAGTCTTCCAAAAAGTGAGCTTCTAAGAAGCCAAATGCCAAAAGTGCTGCTTATGAAAAGTGTTTCCATAGTTTGACTGCTACTGTAAGGGAAAAAGAATTCACAAAATTGATGAGGTATGATTTTGTCCCCTTTTGTAGATTCCTGTAACCATTGAGGATGACACTGTGTATCCATACATCAGGGATGCTCTACAACAGATTGGCTATGCCAAACAGTAATGAAGCAGCACTAACACTGCCTTTATTTAGCATTAACTTGATCTGTGTTTCAAAAAATTTAGCTGACTCTGTGAATGGTTTAACATTTTTCTGAAATATTTTTAATATATACAGATATACATTAATCTGCCTGTATGAGTTAGTGTGTGCATTTTTCGGGTTGCTTGCAGCATACTAATTTTATTTTCTTTATTTATCAATTTTTTTTTTTTAGATTGGAACAATTAATTTTTCATTCTGTTTTATTTTCTTCACTAACACTGACATGGTTATACATTGCATGAATATATCTATATATTTTTATGCCCTGTCATGAATATGGCAGGGGCATATAGTGTTTGTCATGTCCGTCTTCCATCCTTCCATCATGCTTTGCGTTTAGCTCAGTTCAAAGCTCAGTTTCAAAGAAACTGTTCAAGAATATTTTATCAAACTTCATATGCTGATACATACTGATGTCAGCTTTTCAACTGCATCAACATTTTTTGACCTTGACCTTTCCTTTGACCTTGACCTCACTTTTCTTAAATTAATGTTTAGCTCAGTTTTTAGGAAACCATTCAAGATAGTGTAATCAAACTGCATATGCTGTTACATACTGAAGTAAGCTATTAAACTGCATCAACATTTTTGACCTTGACCTCACTTTTCTTAAATTAGTGTTTAGCTCAGTTTTAAATAAACCATTCAAAATATTTTATCAAACTTCATATGCTGATACGTTTAGTGACAGCTATTCAACTGCATCAAAAACTTTTGACCTTAACTTTCCTTTGACTTTGACCTCACTTTTCTTGAATTTGCATTTTGCTTACTTTTAAAGAAACCATTTAAGATATTTTTATGTAAGCTTATGCACTTAATATAATTTAGTGAGAATTTATCATCTACATCGGTGAAAATTTATCATCTATAATATCCAATTTTTTAGATTTCAATTTCAGTTTTAAAGAAAAAATTTTCAAGATATTTTCATCAAACTTCATACACTCATAAAATTTTCATGTTGCATTACTAATATACCCTTGGCGGGGCATTCATGTCCTATGGACATATTTCTAATTATTTAATATCATTCTTTATGATATATATAGTTTTGCATGGAGTATAATATGGCTGAATGGAAAATAAATTTTGAGAGAAAATTAAAGCTTTTTTAAATGCATAATGAATTTTTTTCATAAAAAACAAACATACAAAAAAAATGAAAAATAGAATTGCTAATTTCCCTCAGATATAAGTAATATCTTTACTAACCTTGTTTGTTTTTTGTTGTTGTGTTTTTGCACATTTAACCTATCCTGTTATGATTATTACTTCATATACAGTAACTGTTATATTTATACAACTGCAGATTTTATATATCAATGTTTTCTGATGAGTTGCAGGGGAAAAAAATAATAGTTAGCTCTGAAAGCATTACTTAACTAATCCATGTACTGGTATCTTCAAATTTAGATAATAATATATTGATATACATGTATATCCTCTGCAATACAAAAGCAGAAATAGATGTATGATATTTTACAGAAAGTAAGCCTATAAAATGATAGCAATTTATTTCCTTATATTTGCTGTAAATATAGAAGGTTTACAAAAGAAAATGAATTAAATTTTAACATGCTGTAGCTAAGTTTTGTATTTTTGTAGATACCAGCCACTCTAGAGGACCCTGATGTTTATTCTAAACTAAAGGTGGCATTTGAAGACGCAGGATTTACTGTGGGTAATCCTCAATAAAGTCCACTGACAATATGTGTGGCTATGTGAACTACTATACACCATACTAGAGCACCGAGGAAAAAGCAGCATTGGAAGATGTCCATGACAAAATAATTTTAACTCAGACTTATTGAATGTCTATAGAATTGGTTTGGTTGAAGTAATGTTATCTGCATGCTAGGGCAATGTATGTTATTATCTATAATCCTATAAGTAGTCACTGTATATTTAGTGTATTTTATTCTGGGTTTGTTATGATAATCAGATTTTATACATGTTAATGTGTGTCATACACTTTTTCAGATTTATCTAGTCTTCCAGAAATAGACCATTACTTTTCTAAAGATCGCATATTATGTAGATGTTTATTGGAAACATGGAAATTTACACATGGGGCTTATTTAAGCTACATGTAATACATGTATGTGATAAGATGGCTTTTGCAGAAATAGCCATGCCCCAACCTCACCCCACCCATCAAACCCCTTACCAAGGTCTTAATTCATAATTTATACAATAACAATAGATTATCATCCTAGTATAGCCAAATTAACCTCATATGTATGTTTATTTTTTTGTTTTGTTGTTGTTGTTTTTTTTTTTTTTGCAACTAATATGCGTACATTTATATCCACTTTTACAATATTGAGACAATTTAATACTTTTATTATTCATAATATAATGTCATTTTGTAAACAACATCTACTTATATATACACAGGTGTGCAGGAAACCTTCACCTGTCCTTTTCATCTCTCTTGTTATCTTCAAACACCCCTTATCTTTTCATGTCCCCTGTTTTACAGCCTCCCTCCCACACTTTTATCCCCTTCCACCCTTTTTGTCCACCTTGCCCCTACCCATTATTGATTTCAAAAGATCTTCTCATTGCAATTAATCTTGTCCAGATATGGCATGAAATCTCAAAACTGAATATAATCTGTGTGTTTGTGTTTTACACTGGCGTGACTGGGATAAAAAATGTTATGTTAATTTGTGTGAAATATTCTTTCAGCTGTTCAGCTGTATTTTTATGTCATATGTATCATAACTAAGGCACTCTTTTGATGTCATAACTTTTGTTACAAGAGTATTCTCTCTCTCTCTCTCTCTCTCTCTCTCTCTCTCTGATATTTATACCATTATAAAGGTACTCTATGTGATGTTATTACCAATTTACTTTTTCTTGATAATATGGATGTGTGATGGGTAATTAGGAAGATTCAAGAGATATTTTGGTGCCATATTGGATCAAAGATCATTTTAAAAGTCAAAATTATTGATATGCCTGTCAAAACTTGAGTAACAATATGTTACTTTTATGTGGTGCAAGAATATGCAAATAGGTAGAGGATGGTTATAAAGGAAGAAGTGTTGTATTTTAACAGAGTTCAAGGTCAAAATGTTAATTGCACATTCATATTGTGGGCCACTATTTGCTTTTCAGGTTCCCTAAAATGGTACACATGTATGAAATAAAAAGTACCTAATACTGCTTGAAATGGTTGTGATTCTGTCAAATACATGTACAATTTTGAACAACTAGTACATATACTGTATGCAGGGTTATTTTCGCCCTTTCACACTTGCAAACAATTTTGCCCGTTTAATTTCGACCAGTCACAGTTTTGTTTTAGAAATTATACTGTTTTCTTTGAATCCGCCCCGTCTTAAATTCGCCCACTTGTGTCTTAAGGCAAAAGGGACGAAATAGAACGGCGAAAATTTCCCTGTATTCAGTATTACTTGTACTTTATCAATGATGACCAGTATTCTTTTTCATTTTTAAGTGAACTTTAATTCAGACTGTAAAAATTAATAGCTTATCAATTAACTTCTCTGATGACTGTTTTTGATAGGGAATTTTGGTGTTGGAAGGCACAAATGGGACATCGCATCAATTGTTAAGTTTAAAAAATGTTTTTTACTTCCATGTATACATCATGTTATGCAATGAATGGTAATTATGCAAGGCATCAGATTTTAACCTAGTATATACAAATTATCTGTTATTCATTGTTTTGTTAGATGAGCAAAATTAATGCCTTAAAAATTGTGATTAAAAGAATGCAAGGCTAGTATTATACACATGTAATGTGTCATTTTCTAATATATTTTCTTATAAGAATTCATTTGTATATTTTTATGACGTCGAGCTCTTGGAGCTCGAACGTCATCTAGCAAGCGCCCAGTATGAAATCGCGACCGGATATGTACGCGACCGAATGTGTCAGTCGATGCATCCGCAATAGAAAATAGCAATAGCTATAAACCAATTTCTTTGAAAACGCTCACAATGAATAATAGCTTGAAAATAAAATTGCATCAATTATATCTGCAATTAATTCTATTGCAAAACAACAATATTATGTTTTATTCTCACTCAAGAAAAACGTGATGGTTGTTGCGGATGAATTTCTACAGAAAGGGTGCGTTAAATGACATGAATAACATTTCGGAACGATAACCGTGTAACATAAACAACACAACGGAGGTAAAATAATTACAAAATTACATAAACACGAATACTACAAGACTAAAAAGATTGAATTTCTAAATCTTAGCTTTACTTATACAATCTTCTAACCAACTCTATCCTAAAAACCGATGATATTGACCAGTATTACTGTATTTCTCTATTTCCTCCATTTCCCAGTATACCGTATACCACGCCCGATCGTAACTCGATCGTAATTGTTACAGGACAGTCTTGGTTGTAGTTTAGATGCAATTACTAATACAACGCTTTGACATTGGCAATTAGAAAAAAATATTATATAAATTCATGAAATCCTTCATAGTTCTTCAGCTGACTGAAAAGAATTTTGCATGAACATGTTCGACGGTGTCTGGTCAATTCGAACCCTGCTTCATTCGGACCATGACATAAGGCCCCAGACTGTAATTCTGATATTTTGTTTAAAACTATTTTTTTATTATTTCTCCTGAGTCACTCACTTGACTTATTGCTATCTTCAAATTCAAAATGATCTTTTGAAATTGTTTTTCTTCTTCGACGTCATTGAAGCCTTTCAGGCTTTTGATTTATATACTCATCTTAAATAAATTTTAGCTGGTAAGTGTTGTTCATTCATCTTTCATTATGTGGTTCACTCAATATTATACATGTATATATTTCTCAAACTTGCAGATTTATCATGAGCATGAATGCAGCAAATATTAAGGAGGCTGGGGGGTCAACAAATTAACCATCAGATATACATGTAACTTAATTTTTTAGATATAATATCTTAAGCTGTCAACTATCATTTGGCAAACAAAAATTTCATACATTTTAGTTTTAAAATTTGATCATTTTTGTATATCTTTATATGGAGCTCTTCTTCTAAAGGAGATTAATATAGTCTGAAAATGGCCACAACCACCCAGCCCTCTTAACATCAAGAATTTTTTTCCTGACAGACCCATCTTCATCTGCTGTGGAATCACCAATTTTTATGGGGATTTAATGTCTGTACTTTCCATACTATGGAATCCATAGGTACGAAGAAACCCACAAATTCATGCCCCCTTCCCCATGAAATATGTAAATTTTATATTAAGGTTTCTTGGGGTTTTTTTTTACCCATGAAATTAAATTTCTTTTCCCTATACCACGAAAATCTGACCCAACAAAAATTAGGAATTTTATAGCCTTGGAAAATGCATATTACAAAAGTTCTAGTCTTCAAACTTAGTTTGCCAAAGCAGTAATGACTTTAAAGTCAGAAGTTAAAGTAGATCGTGTTGATCTCCACAACAGATTTAGTTACATTACCAACATCTAACCATGAATGACAATATACATTTATTGACTTGGTTCGAGGGCAATATGCGTTTTGTCAGACCTAAGAACCAAACTGTTTGGTTCGAGGGGTCCACAAAACGCATTTTGCCCGAGAACACAGTCAATAAATGTTTTGTTATACTGTACTTTTTATTTTTTTTTACATTCATGTATTTTGTGCTGGCTTCCATCATGTAAATTTCCTTTACCAGCACTGAGGTTAAACTCGGTCAATTCCGTCACTGTCGAACACCAACGAATGCAGGTGAATTAGCTGATCCCACCCATTTTGTGACACAAGCGGTCCAGTATCTCATCGACAGGTTCAATATCTCACTCCACGGTCAAACATCAATTTTTTATTAGCTCACTTGAGCCAAAGGCTCAAGTGAGCTTTTCTGATCACATTTTGTCCGGCGTCCGTCTGTAAACTTTTCACATTTTCAACATCTTCTCAAGAACCTTTGGCCAATTTCAACCAAACTTGCCACAAAGTATCCTTGGGTGAAGGGGATTCAAGTTTGTTCAAATGAAGGGCCACGCCCTCTTTCAAAGGGAGATAATTAGGAATTGGTGAAAAAATAATGGCATCATTTTAAAATGTTCTTCTCAAGAACCACTGGGCCAGGAAAGATGAAAGCATCTTCAGGTAGTGTAGATTCAAGTTTGTTCAAATCATGACCCCCAGGGGTAGGGTGGGGCCAAAATGATGGATAAAAAATTTACATAGGAATACATAAGAAAAAAATCTCCTCCTCAAGAACAGCAAAGCCATGATTGAACGTATTTATATGGAAGCATCCTCAGGTAGTGTAGATTCAAGTTTGTTCAAATCATGACCCCAGGGGGTAGGATGGGGCCACAATGGGGGATCAAAGTTTTACATAGAAATATAGAGGAAAATATCTTTAAAAATCTTCTTCTTAAGAACAGCAAAGCCATGATTGGACATATTTCTATAGAAGCATCTTCAGGTAGTGCAGATTCAAGTTTGTTCAAATCATGACCCCCCGGGGGTAGGGTGGGGGCCAGAACAGGTGATCAAAGTTTAGCATAGGAATACATAGGAAAATTCTTTAAAACTCTTCTTCTCAAGAAAAGCAAAGTCATGCTTGGTCATATTTTAATGGAAGCATCCTCAGGTAGTGTAGATTCAAATTTGTTCAAGTCTTGACCCTCGGAGATAGGGTGGGGCCACAATGGGTGATCAAAGTTTTTGATAGGAGTATATAGGAAAAAAAACTTTTTCATAGGAGTATATAGGAAAAAAAACTTTTTCAAGAACAGAAAAGCCATGATAAGTGAAACTGATACGGAGGTATCCTCGGGTAGTGTAGAATCAAATTTCTTCAAATGAGGGCCCCGGGGGTAGGTGGGGCCACAATGGGGGATCAAATTTTTACAAATGAATATATATGGGAAAAAAAAATCTTCTGCTCAAGAACAGCAAAGCCATTTGTTATATTGATATGAAAGCATCATCAGGTAGTTTAAAATTCAAGCCCCCCCCCCCCATGTAAACTTTTCACTACTGAAGCGATTTTTGCTTTTTTTCCTAGCCAATGTGCTCAGGTGAGCGATGTGGCCCATGGGCCTCTTGTTGGAATTGTTAGACTTTTTTTTAGTATGGATTTATATAGGAACAAATTCATAAAGGTATAACTTGCTCAAACAGAAGATCAAAGGAATATATGTCTCTTTAGAAGGGGATATATATAATTATGCAGAATGAACAGAAAAAATAATCATTGATAGACCTTTTGCCAAGTGCTTTTACAGAGAGGCAGTGCATCTGGCTATACAGTAAAACACACTTATAATGAAGTGCCAGGGACAGCCAATTTTGCTTCGTTATAAACATTATTTGTTTTATCTGTTAAGTTCACAGTATGATTTAAAGCTATGGGGAATGAAAACCACTTTGCTATAAGCATCAATTCATTATAAGCGTTTTACAGTATTGCAATCCCGTTTGCAAACATGCAGCGAAATTCAATCTGAGTATGCCTGAGTATTATAGTTTATTGTTGCTCTTCATGTAGATTTGTTCTCAGCTGCCAGAAGTTTTGAAATTTTCATGTCCTTTTAAACAACCAAGTATTGTTGGCTTCTAAAGGCATGTCAGAAGGGCATTTTATGTCCTTTACATAACAAAATAATTTCCTTGTAAAGAAATCTACAATTAAAACAAAAGTATTTTTGTTTCATTTTTTTATTAGCATGCAAGTGATTAAACACACATTCATCAAGAATATGCCTTCATAAAGTGGTGCAGTATGTGTGAAATTCAGTTTGTGTTCTAATCCAAAGATTTCCACTACGTTCCTACATGGTGTACCAAGCAGAATATACAAAAGAATTAGTGCACCAACATACTTTTTCATCAACATTGACACATTCATTTATGTATATATACTGTTCATGTACTTCTAACATTTTATCTGTCAATTTTTTTCTTTGCAATTTGATCAAATTATATTTTTTTACTACATGTAATTGATTTAAAACACAAAGAAAAAATATTTTGAAGTCTTAGTTACTTCCTGTTAATAAACATTCTAATCTGTAAATGATATGTCACTCAAATTGGATATTGTAATGGCACCACCTGAAGAAAAATCACTTTCCAATCTTTATTGCACTCAAGTACCTTCACTTTTTAACAAATTCAATACAAAAGTCAAAAGAAAAGATACACAAATGTCCATTTTGGGACTTTTTATAGCAATATATACATGCATATAGCACATTCCATGGCTATAGAAGTGTAGCATGCTGGTCTTATGCCAAAACCGAGAGATTACCTGATTTTCAAAATAAATTTCCAGAATGTTAGCTACATGTAATTATGTAAGCTAAATATAATACTGCATTTCAATATCAATACATAATAAATTTCAGAGACAGATGAAACAGTCTTGATATAGTGAGCATCCATTTATTTTTTAAGATTTAGTACATGTATATAGTTGTATATAAATCTGATAAATTATAAGGATCTTGAAAGAGGAAGTCTTTGATAACATCAATTTTTAATTATTCATTTTTTTTTTAAGGTGTGTACGTTATCTTTTCTTGAACACAAAGCACATAAAGAATTATACAAACACAGAAAACAGTTTCAATGAAGTTGGTAGATAAATCAATAACATTAATTTTCTGTAAAAAAAAAAATACACTGAGCTTATAAAGAAACTCCATCTTGAAATATAATCCGTAATTCATCAATTATTACATATATATAACATATGCCGTAAAATATGTTTAATAAAGTAAAAAAAAAAATCTATAAAATGTTGTAGTTAGTTTGATCCATGATATCCAGTTTTAGACATCCTGCAGCTACACAATGGTTCTATGTTCTAGTGGCTGTGTTTACTTCAGTAATGCTTTCACATCCTCTTTTTCTGCACATTCTATTAAAGACTGTCCATCTGGTGATGTAACAGTTTTATCAGCACCCTGTAAAATCAATGCGACTTGAGTCAAAATTATGGAAGGCAAATAAAAAAATTCAGGGAATTTATGTCCCTTGCTTAAGGACACATGTCTATTTGAGATATAACCCAGACACATTTTGTAACAATATAACAGTTTGTGACCTTGACCTTTGACCCTTTCACCTCAAAATTAATAGCGGTCATCCTTTAGTTACTGACAGTAATGAGAATTGAAGTGAATCAGGTAACCATTTTTTGTCATATACATGTATGAACTTTCTTAAGGTAGAGAGAGTCATCAGTATAAGTTTCACTGCAAAAGCTTGGAAAGAGAAACTTAAGTTTTCATCTGGAAACTATTTTTACTATTATATGAATGTCTGACCTTGGTCTTTGACCTTTGAACCTCACAATAAATACGGGGTCTTCTCTAAACCATAGGAATTTATGATAAAATTTCAAAAGGTAAGGATACTACAGTGTACCATTGAATATCATATGAATTTGTGACCTTGACCTTTCACCTTTTGTCCTCAATCAGAGGAGGTCTTTTTTAAAGCTGAACACCACTCATAAAAGGCATTGTTCGCCATATTACTCGTTCATCACCACTATCCCCTACAACCCCTATATAAGCTGCAGACCTCTTAACAGTTCAAGGTATTCACTGTAGAGGTCTGACGAGTATAGACGTACATCTTACATTGCCATGTTACTCGGTCGCAATGAAATTACCAGTATCGAATTTTACACACTTTTTCTAAGCCAGTAGAAAAGTAACATCAAATATACAAGTCATTACATTATTTAGAAACAGAAAATTCACATAAAAACAAGGAATAAACGCACAAAATCTAAGACCATGAAAGGCATACTACACGTCGGTCACAAGTTTCAAGTGTGCAATCCGGTGTAACGAAATTGGTTAATATACCTGTGTGACGGTGCCTATTTATGATTATTATGCTTCCTGTCAGTTTGTCTCTACATAGTCAATACCCAACTATTTTCGCATAGTGGTCTAAGGATTTATATAGCGTAAGCATACTATGCCGAAATAGAGCACGGCTTCTTTTTCTGAAGAAAATCCGACAGCGCCCACGCCGGGGATCGAACTCACGATCCCAAGATTATCAGTCTGACGTGCTACCGATTACGCTACAGACGCCGTTATCTATAACACTGTATTATAATATATATAAACTTAGTTTTAAAGATTTTACACTACAAGAAAAAAAAATAAACAAAATAATTTTTATAAAATAGTATCTTGCAATTTTTTACCCTTCACACAACTAAATTTCTCAACTATCTGTACATGGAACATTCAAAATATTAAAGACAAAAGATTATGACGTACATGTAGCACAACGTGACGTCATAATAGGGGTGTACTAACATGAATGTAAGAGGTGATGAAACATTGGAAAGGGAGAAAATATTGTCGTTTTTATACAACCGTCAGCATAATAATAACAATAGTGTTGTACTTTGCATGCACTATGCCTAAATAGTAGTCAGGGTTTGACACATAGTGCACTCACCTCCGGCTCGTGCACCATGTGTCAAACTCTGACTACTATTTAGGCATAGTGCATGCAAAGTACAACACTATTATATAAGTAGTGTTCACCTTTAAGTCAGAGAAAAAGAGAGAGTCTACACCTAAATGTTCATTCCATAAGCTCTAAGGACTAAATGTACCATCTGAAAACAATTTTATGCAATACATGTATATGCTTCCATATAAATATAACCAATCATGACATTGTTGTTCTTGAGAAGAAGATTTTTAAAGATTTTTCCTATATATTCCTATGTAAAACTTTGATCACCCATTGTGGCCCCACCCTACCCCCGGGGTTCATGATTTGAACAACCTTAATTCTACACTACCTGAGGATGATTACACATGAGTTTCATCTTTCCTGGCCCAGTGGTTCATGAGAAGAAGATTTTTAAAAAATGCTATTAATTTTTCACTAATTTGTAATTATCTCCCCTTGGAAGAGGGCATGGCCCTTCATTTGAACAAACTTGAATTCCCTTCACCCAAGCAAAACAGTTTAGCAACAATTCTACTTATATCAAGCATTACTAGAAAGTTTAACAGAATAAAAATCTCTGAGGTTGAAACCCCAATAATTGAACTTTGGTAGGAAATGTACTACAAATGCTACAAATTTTTCCGTCTGAGAGTATATTCCTGGTGCTATTTTGTGTCTTAAAAAAAGTCTGTTAGTATACATTTTGTATATAGAACCAAATATTCTCTTTCTTTTCCTTTATGTCTAATTGTGGGTGTCAAAAATGCTGCTTTCTGATTGGTAAAAAAAATTACTAATTTCTGAAGTATATTTATAGAAATTTTCAATTATTATGGTTATTATTTTGAACTTTCATATAGGGAAATCAACCACACCTGTTACATCTATACTTTGATAAGGATGCTTTTTAATTAATTTTACAAAATGCAAAATATTTTCTATATCAATTTTTTTAATCAGGCTTCAACTGTAAAGTCAGATTTGTAAGTATGCAGAAGATATATAAATTAATGGTGATGATTATTTCAGATAAAAAAAAATTAAACATTTTCATGAATGTTTATCACTTAAATCTCTAGGTTTGAGAGCACTTACTAGTTTAAGTAAAGTCTCTACACTGGATACATGGCCCTCCCATACTGCTGCCAGCAATGGAGTTATGTTGTGTTTGTCTTTTTGCTGTTGAGTACAAACAGATTATTGTATTGCATGTACTGTAACAGTGTAATCTGTATACATAATATAAGCCATGCTTTTTATAAAACCTTCTTCAAGGCCACTCTCTCTTAATTCTAATTTTCTGTACCTTGTAGGTTTTTGAATGTTGAATGTAAAATTGGTACACAATATGGTTAAGATATTATTAAATGTTTTTTTTTTTGTTTACTGATAATTCTACAAATTTTTGATTTTGTACAATCCTTAGATAAAAATTATGACATACTAACAGTCAAACCTTGTTATCTAAAACTGGATAAGGCCAAGGAAAACTTTTTGACACTGTATTTCTAATAACATAACATTGAAAAAATATACCCACATTAATATTGGCTCCTTTGCTGACAAGGTATTCAATAACTTGTGACTGTCCATAGTCTGCAGCAAAGTGTAGAGGGAACCTGCCCTCCACCTCTTTGTTTACTACATCAGCACCCTAAAACAGATCATTTACAATTATCATTGAAAATATAATTGAATGTGTTGACTTATTGAATAAAAGACTTCTCCAGCAGTATAAATAGCAGTATAAATTCAGAATGGCACCGAGTACATATGAATCAAAAGACATCTATAATATCATTTCATTCAGTTGAAGGCTTCATTTTTAAATCTTTCCCCAGCAGATTTGCTCTTTATTGCAACACTATCAGCAAATATATGGGGAATATTATCGTTGTCTAAAGTGAGGGCCACAAAGAAAAATTTAATAATACTTTGCAGCATGTTTTATGAATGCCAAATGATTAAGAATCCTGATCAAAAGAAGAACTGAACCAAAAATGGAGATTCTGTACTGTGCATCAAACCGAGAAGAAATACTGTGGTGAACCGTTTCACTCATAATCAGGCACAAAAAAACTGGGTGCATGTTTTTATCAACTGAAACAAAAGTATTTGTATTTTGACCTTTGATAGTGATTCGAAGTGAAAAAACATATCATTCCGGAAACTACTGAGACCGCACCAAAGGTCACCGAAAATTACAATGGATACCTTAAATGAAGAATAATGCAAATGTGCTCTTTAGGACATTTGTCAAGGACAAAAAGTGAAAAAAACATTTAAAAACCTTGCAGTTTTTAAATATCAATAATAAAAATATTCCTAATAAATCTGAAAAAAAAATGTGTTTCAATTCCATACTGGAATGTAACACTCCAAGGTTACTTTCACTTTCTGTCCACAAGAAATGTCCTCAAGAGCATGTTTGGATTATTATTCAACTGAAATGTGCATTGTAAAAGCTGCAAGGGGATATATGCAAACGTATTGTCTTCAGAGAATCCTTGCTTAAAATTAGGCAGTGAGTTGGTAAAATAAAGGGAAATTGTGAAAACAAATGTTAAAAACAAGGAAGGGGTCCAAGATGGCACCCCTTGTGTGTTTTAGGCTAGTAGTTCGGATTTATATATATATATATATATATATATATATATATATATATATATATATATATATATTAAAATAAATATTTTCTTATTTGATTTTTTTTTACACTCCGGGAGCAAGCCCCTGAGACTGCACTAGACACTCTACAGGTATATTGCTGCCCCACCCCATTCCTCAGTCCTTTACACATGTACAGTTCACCGTTTTACACCCTTTACTGGGAGACTGTTTTATTTTTAACTATGGACAGGTAAATTGTTTGAAAACAAGTATACGATCATGTACAGCTAGAGCGAGACAAAAATGGATATCGATAATGTGCAACTTTGCTGGTATGCACTTTCAATATATAGATCATGCTCACTTTCAACTTAGGAAATGATTTCATTGATGATTGTTACCTTTTCTTCCACAAATTTCTGAACATCGTTTATCTGCCCGTTTTTAACATCCCATATAAAACTCGTCATTTTTTGTTAAATAAATAAGGAAATCAAGATTTAATCGGGGAGTTTTCGGTAGAAAATGAAACCGGAAGTAATCCACGAGTTTACCCCTACGGTAACAAAATATTTGATTGGATGAAGAAATATGTTGATTGACCAATCAATTTCCCAGATCACGAAATTGTCATCTCGCGCATAGAATTGTCGTGCATGTAGTTATGGTAGGTGCGTGTCCAACTGCAAAACTTTTAAACATTTTTTCCATTTCCTATCTTGAACAATTCGGTCAATTCTAAGAAAATGGTACAAAAACTCTTGGTATTTAAAATTATTTATTGTTTATAGGATCAGAAGCTAAAAAAGTCTTTATCCAAAGAGAAAAAATGTGTTACTTTTAAAATGTTATTTTAATATTCCAATAACGAAGTGGGGACATTTCATGCACGATCTCATCATATCCAATAATCAGCGATAATGACGTTGTTTAAAACGAGTTTATAAGTGTACATTCAAAACAAATCGTGGTGGCAAAACTGCATTTCATATAACGTCATTAATAATTTTCAGATATGTTCATTTTTTCTTCAAAGGCGTGTTTTTTCGAAACCTGCAAACCGACAGACCCTCGAAAAGAAGGATGGAGTGCAATTACACCCCTTTTCTATAAACTCGAAAATATATATTTGAAACAAAATAAATTTGTTATTATGAATTTGTTTGCTGCTAGATTTTGTTTATCAATACCTGGGAAAACCGTTTTCAGAATGTACTAGAATCGAATAAAATCAAACTCACGTTTATTTAAATTAAAACAAAATGGCTAAATGAGGTGGTGCAACTCCCAAACCTTTCCCCCAATCACATTTTCCCAGAAACCTTGTCAAAATGCTGACAGCGGTTCAATTACAAGAAAACTAAATTATTGAAAAAGTAAATTCACGAGATGTGGAAATTAGGGGGTAATGGGAATCTAATGATAACAACATTGCCAAAAAAATTGAAACAGAAAGTTATGCATGTGGGGAAAAAAAGATTCTAAGTTAATCTTGATAAGCTGTATACAACCCTTAATCACATTAGTTGCCAAACACATGTACATATGCAATTTAATTGCGAGCCATATCATTTTAATTCTGTTCAAATGGATTTCTACGGAAGCCCAATTAGGACATATCAAAAATATTAACGAATTGTCAAAATTGTTAAAACGAATTAAATTCGTTACATCAATTTTTTGAATTCGTTTTAACGAATAACAAATCTGTTGAATTCATTATTTCTTTGTTTATAAAGAAGTATACCTATTGAATACGTAAAAAAAAAAGATTGTTCCTGATTAAATCTGGTTGAAAATATATTACTTTCATAAATTATGCTTAAAGATAAATTAATTAAATAAAGGAAAATTTGCCCCCTCCCAATATGTATCACTGCTTACCCCCACCCCCACCCCCCATACCACCCCACCAACCAAGATTTTGGCTGCTAATATATATGATATAGTATATAAGTAGTACTTGTATTCTATTTATCATCTATATATCTAAAATACTGAGTTCACATAAAATCATTTAATTAATATTTCCTGCGGGTATATGAAATTTTTCTCTATATTCAAGATGAACTCATAAACCCACATGTAGACAAGCTTCAATATCAATATTACTAACCTGTCCTTGCTGTTTTGTATAACTTTTTTTCCTGTGCACGTTAAATCTGATATCCTATTTTCGTTCCACACTAACCCCAAGGTCCATAATTTGATGAACTTGAACCCACCCATCCCATCCCACCCAAAAAATGGAAATGTTTGCACATTAATATCATTCAGCGTGGCCCAGCTACCCTTGAAATGGATGTTTTCATGAAAAAAATTTAAAGTTCTGTTTTAGCCCACCCTAGCCCAAGGGGCTATGATTTGAACTTTGAATCTAGGCTACATTGGAATACTTGCATGTTAACCTGACTTAGCACAGTCTAGTTGTTCTTGAGAAGATATTTTAAGATTTTTCAAAATGCATTCTCATGTAATATTTTTTATTGCCTTCCCACCCTACTGGGGGGGGGGGGGGGTGTTGCTTTGAACAATCATAAATTCACACTACTAGTATTTTAGGGAGCATACATTTTCGTGTCCAGTACTTCTTGAAAAAATCAAATGACCACACCTTTTTTGCCTTTTCTTCATCATCTCCCACTATAGAAGAGGCATGACCTTAAATTTGAATGACTTTGAATCTCCCTTACCCAAGGATGCTATGTGCCAAGTTTGCTGTAGATTGGCCCAGTGGGCCAATAGAAGAAGTTGAAAATGTGTAAAGTTTACAGATGGACAAATGGAGAAGTGCCGGACAATGGGTGATCAGAAAAAAAACTCATTAGAACCTATAGCTCAGGCGAGCTTAAAAAAATGCTTGGTGCAAAACATCTGAATGAAAATTGTAATTCCTGGAGTCCAGTAATGACCACAAACATATACAAAAACATGCAACATGCATTATTTACTATTTTTCTTTGTATGTTTAGGATATAACAGCATGCTTTTGTATACTGGATTTAACACTACAAAGGATGTTTCTGAAAGATTTTAAAGAGGATGGTTCTTTGATCTAACCAATTTGACTCCTGGTAGGATATTTTGGTTACAGTTTGTTTTTTTCTGTCCAAATATAAACTACAGTAATACAGTGAGAGTCCAAGTCATCTATACTTTTCATTGTCACTCTTTTTTTTCACATACACCCCAACCCCCAACACCCTTTTTGGCCCAATTTTTTGATAGGGTGAGTTGATCTGAAAAGGTGACAAAACAAAGGATCCATTTACAATTTTGTTGTCTTAATTGGTATCAATAGATTTATTTTTACACTGAGCAAGCTACTATTATTTTTAGATCTACCTAGAACTCTGAATATATACACGTACATCTATAGAATTAAAGAGCTATTCTCTGTAACGACTTAAACTTCTTTGCTGATTTTGATGAAACTTTGCCCTTCATTACAACTTGACCTCAGCACCATATATCAAATAATATTTGGTTGCTAAGTGTCTTGGTTACCATGGTAACAGCCAGAAAAGCTTGAAGATTGGGATTTTCTGTTACTTTGAATCTTTATTGAGCCTTGATAAAGACTAAGAAAAATAAACAAACTATTCTCACAAAAAGATGACACCTTGTTGCCACTTATGCTATAAATAAACTATTCAGAATATATCTCTAAGTAAGTGGTAACCATGAGTACATTTGGAATACATTTTAAATGCTGAAAAAATGCTGAGAAATGCTCAATATTCACTAATGATGGGTGTAACATGATCTAAACTCCATCAACAACTCAAGAAAAACAATAACAAGAGGCCCAAGGGCCTTAACGGTCACCTGAGTATAACACACAATTTAAATGATCCATAGAGTATAAAATGAACTGAAAGGTGAAGCTTTGTTGCCCTAAGTAAGAAAAATAGGGTGATCAGGATAAACAAAATAATTATTCTAGTATTCATTAACAGTTCATAAATTAGATTCTAATCTGTTCCCATTTATCACTCTCACCATAAAGTACATTAACAAACTATCAGTGCTTCTGTACTATTTTAATTACTTGTTGAAATCTCTTACATTGGCCTCTCTTGGTCTTTGATGAACATTTAATAAGACAAGTTATTTTTGTCTCATTTTTATTCATCTATTTATTACTTACAAGTCTACCTGTTCATTAAAACTATGAAAGTACTTTTTGTATTATACAATAAAAATTCTTGCATAATTCTCTTATTCTAGTAACCTTTCAAGTACATTATTTACAGTGATTAATTATCAAAAGTAAATGGCAAAGGGGAATAACTCCTCTCAGTAGAATACAAATTAATAGAGCCCTGACCAGGACCAGAACACTTGACCAAGTGGTCCAGATGTTCAAAAATCTGGTAAAATTATCCTTCTTTTTGCCTCTGATATGCCCAGGTGCAGAGATTTATAAAGAAATAATGCATTTTTACTACAGATTCACTACATTATCAATAGAGCCCCCCCCCCCCCCCTCCCCACCGAGAAACATCAGAGCCACTCACCCTGGGACCAGAGGTTTGCTCATCATAAGTAATCACTTTGCTTATATGCTTAACACTAAGGAGCTGACAGGATTATTTGATAGAATTAATGCATTTTCACTATATTATCAAGAGCCCCACCCTTACACCAACACATCTGACCCAGGGGTCATGCAATTCTCAACTCTGGAAGAAGCACTCTTGCTCATCATAACTATATACATGTACTTAGCTTCTTTGCTTTTTAGAATATTTTCAAAGAAATTTTGCTTTATCACTATATAATCAATAGACCCCCCCCCCTTTTTCACCAGAACCCTTGACCCTGGGCCATGAAATTCACAATTTTGGTAAAGTCACTCTTGCTTATCTATGTATTCAATTTGTTTCAATAATACCCAGGAGTAGAGAAGAAGATTTTCAAAGAAATAATGCACTTTCACTATATGATCTATATAGCCCCACCCTAGCACCAGAACCCCTGACCCTGGGGCCATGAATTTCACAATTTTGGTAGAATCACTCTTGCTTATCATAAATATGTATTTAATTTGTTTAAATAATACCCAGGAGTAGAGAAGAAGATTTTCAAAGAAATAATGCACTTTCACTATATGATCTATATAGCCCCACCCTAGCACCAGAACCCCTGAACCTGGAGCCATGAATTTCACAATTTTGGTAGAGTCACTCTTGCTTATCATAAATATGTATTTAATTTGTTTAAATAATACCCAGGAGTAGAGAAGAAGATTTTCAAAGAAATAATGCACTTTCACTATATGATCTATATAGCCCCGTCCTAGCACCAGAACCCCTGACCCTGGGGCCATGAATTTCACAATTTTGGTAAAGTCACTCTTGCTTATCATAACTATGTATTCAATCTATTTCAATAATACCCAGGAGTAGAGAAGAAGATTTTCAAAGAAATAATGCACTTTCACTATATGATCTATATAGCCCCGCCCTAGCACCAGAACCCCTGACCCTGGGGCCATGAATTTCACAATTTTGGTATTACAATCATGCCAACAGTTTGACTGCTAGATGTCCAGGAGTAAAGAAGAAGATTTTTAAAGATTGCATTAATTTTGGTGGTTTTAGCCCCACCCCTCAGGCCCCGAGGGGGGGGGGGGGCAGGGACCATGAAATTCACAAATTTTGTTCCCCTTCATCCATAGATGCCATATGCTAAAATTGGCTGAAATTGGTTCAGTGGTTTCAGAGAAGAAGCTGAAAATGTTCAAATGTTAACACACGACACACGACGGACGACACACGACTACGGACGAAAACAGATAGCAATAGGTCACCTGAGTGACTCAGGTGACCTAAAATAGTTGTCCTTTAGCAGTAAGATATTGGCAATATTTTTCTAAAAATAAACTTCATGGTTGCCATTGTAATACAGTGTAGCCAAACAAAATTTGTTGATAAGTTTTGGTTAATGCTACTCCTAAGGAAAAAAAACATGGAGATTTATGACTGGCAGATGTACATCATTAGGACCTTGTAACACAGATAACATAAGAAAAATTGGGATTTATTGCTACTTTTAAGTATAACCATGGAAACAACATACCGGTACCAGTGGTTTTAAAGGGATATTTTTTCATTGTTTTAGAGATTTAGTTACCATTTAATCAAGAAATATATTATCTGACTCACCTTGTATAGTTCTTATCTGATAGAACTAAAGTTGAACATCATATATTGGTAAAGTTTGATGAAGAAAATTACACTGTTGCTATGGTAACTATAGCTAAGAAGGGAAAATGACTTCATAGCAATATTAGTGGTAACTTCTTGCATCCAGTTAGAGATTGTGTGGTAGTCAAAATTGAAGTCAGGTTAGTTGTTTATAAATATCAATCATAGAAGTTTTGGGAATCTACATATAAGGGTACGTATCCAAGAAAACAAAATATTTTTCAGCTTTTATATATATTTTTTATAAGCTTATTTCCATAGCAAGACTCTATTTAAAGAATTCAATTAGAATTTTTTGAGACATGAAAATTAGGACATCACCAATGCCTTTAAAAATTGATCACCAGTTCTATAGAATGTGCATTTTAAATAGAAAGGATCAGATTAAAACGTACAGAGAGTAAATTAGGTCCATAATAACATATATACTAGTTGATTTATCATGCATTTCAGACATCAGGCCTTCAACTTTTAGAAACAGTAAATGCCAATTGTTTGCACTGTTGCAAATGTTAAATATGGGACTCTGAACATGTTGAAAAATGCCATTTTTCAAAATTTATGGTGTGTTGCCATGGTAACCATGACACATGGCAATCAGTTTTTGCCTGATTTGAGATGGCTTTCTTCATAGAGATTTTGGAGAAATCCAGAGACTATGCATGCCACAGTTTCTATATAAAATTTCAAGTCATTACTGAGAATGGCTCTTAAAAATCAAATGAAACATTTATCATTTTGTTATATTAGCTGATCTTCCAAACTAATTTTTATGCCCTCGTATCGAAGATTCGGGGGTATATAGTTTTTGTCCTGTCCACCCTTCTGTTTGTCCGCAAAAACTTTAACATTACTTATAACTTTTGATTGGCTGGAGCTATGGCTGTCATATTTCACATGTGTATTTCTTGTGACAAGACCTTTCTTTGGGTACCATCATGTTTGACCTTTTGACTTTGACCTTGGAGTTTGACCCAGTTTTACAAAATTTTCCAACTTTAACCTTGGCCATAACTTTGAACAGTTGATGCTAGGGCTTTCAAACTTCACATGTGTAATCCTTTTGATAAGACCTTCCTTTGGATACCAACAACTTTGCCCCTTTGACCTTGACCTCGCAGTTTGACCTACTTTTGAAAAACTTTAACCTTGGCCATAACTTTTGAATGGTTGGTGTGAGGACTTTCATATTTCACATATGTAATCCTTGTGACAAGACCTTCCCTTCTTTTGGATAACTTTGACCTTTACCTAGGAGTCTGACCTACTTTTGAAAAACTTTAACTTTGGCCATAACTTTTGAACTGTTGGTGCTAGGGCTTTCATACTTCACATATGTAATCCTTGCGACAAGACCTTCCTTTGAATACCAACAACATTGACTCTTTGATCTTGACCTTGGAGTTTGACCTACTTTTGGAAAACATTAACTTTGGCCATAACTTCTGAATGGTTGGTGCTAGTACTTTCATATTTCACATGTGTATTCCTTGTGAGAAGACCTTTCTTGGATACCAACAACTGTAGCTCATTGACCTTGGAGTTTGACTTACATTTGAAAAACTTTAACCTTGGCCGTAACTTTTGAACTGTTGGTGCTAGGGCTTTCATACTTCACATATGTAATCCTTGCGACAAGACCTTCCTTTGAATACCAACAACATTGACTCTTTGATCTTGACCTTGGAGTTTGACCTACTTTTGGAAAACATTAACTTTGGCCATAACTTCTGAATGGTTGGTGCTAGTACTTTCATATTTCACATGTGTATTCCTTGTGAGAAGACCTTTCTTGGATACCAACAACTGTAGCTCATTGACCTTGGAGTTTGACTTACGTTTGAAAAACTTTAACCTTGGCCATAACTTTTGAACAGTTGGTGCTAGGGCTTTCATACTTCACATACCGGTATGTAATCCTTGTGACAAGACCTTACTTTGAATACCAACAACTTTGACCCTTTGACCTTGGAGTTTGACCTGCTTTTGAAAAAATTTAACCTTTTCCATATCTTTTCAATGGTTGCTGCTAGGGCTTTCATATTTCACATTTATAATCCTCGGGACAAGACCTTACTTTGGGTACCAACATATTTGATTTACATTTGAGAAAGTTTAACCTTCGCTATAAGTTGCCACACGGGGGCATCAGTGTTTCACAAACACATCTCGTTTTCTAAGAAATTAAAATGAGCTACAGATCTGAAGCCACCTTCCATTATGCTCCAGAAAGAAAAAATGTAAACACAGAAATGATGTTATAATCTGACATTTTATTGCAGGATTTATCATCTTTCATACATGCTTACATAGGTCACTTGTACACTGTTTGACAGACTGTCAAGTTTCCAAACAATCAGCTGATCAAAAAATAACTTAATAATAAAGCAATACTCATCAGCCAGGCTTAAGTAGGTCTAGGGTAGAAATACAGTCCATATTAGTCAATAAGGTATGATTTTAAATCATAACCAATCTTAAAAATATCTCATTCTTAATATAGTGTTTATTTTGGGGATTTCCAATGGGATTTTTTCACTGAATATTGAAATAATGCTTATTTTCATCTACAATCGAAAAAGGGGGAAAAAATCACAATATCATTTCATAAAAAAAATTTACAAAAATCATTACCAATTTGATTACATATGGAAAAATATATTTTTTGGAAGGCTTACAGATCATTCAGCACAGTACAAACATACATTGTATTAAATGTATGTATTATTGTGCACAGTTTAAAATAAGAAGTTTCATCAACTTCATTCATTTTGAGAACTTCTGATTTATATTTTACACATTGAGTTAATAGCCCTGTGCATAATTCAGCAGACAGTTCTAAATAATGATAATATTCAATGTCATTTACATTTATGATCGACATCATGTATTGACTGACTGTGAATTTTTAATGAAAATAACCAATAACATAATCTCATGAGAAATGAATAAAAACCATTATGATATAAATAACAGTTCAGATTTATATGACAGATCCATATGAGCACCTAATATCTACAAAGCTTGCAGGGAGAATTTCATATGAGCTGATATGTCAGAGGTTGGGTGATTATCATGGGAATTTCCATAGGAGAGGATATCATGTGAAAAAAGCATATCTCCTAATACTGAATTATTAACATACAAAGATTTAATCGTAATCACATTCACATAGAAAGATAAATCACTCATTCTTAAATTTCTTTGACATACACATTCATTTAACCTTTTTCTCTCGTGTGACACATTCATTCATTTCAATTCACAGCCACAGATGAGAAGCACTTCCCCAAATAAAGCACTCACAACTAACATGACAAGTAGATTTCATTTTTATCAATAGATTTAAAAATTCTCGTAAATATGGTGCATAAGAATTCATAAAAACATTTCAACATATGAAATACCACTGATTCGGAAAGAAACTAATTAAAATCAACTTTATCACAGAAAGAAGTCATTTTAAAAAAGAAAAAATTAAATTCTAAAAATTTGAAAGAAAAATTTGGAAATATTATTATATCTACATGCACATTGATTTATTGGAACCCATAGAAAACAAGTCAACAACACACAGTCACACAGCATACATAATACATTAAATAATTCCAAATTTTTAGAGTGAAATCTCTTCACTTGCTATTTAACACTATTAACAGTTGTCTATATACAGTACAAGTATATACAAATACATGTATTCAAAAAATACTCTCCCCAAATTTGAAAATTTAAGTAAAATTAACAAAGTATTTATTGAACAATCATCCGAAATAATGAAATTTTTAATTATGATTTTCTTTATATTGTTTCCAATAATAATAGGAGCTGATATAATTTTGTTTGATACACCAGCACAGTTCAGTAATGGCTAAGATCAGATGATTTACTGCTTTATAACAACCATAACTTTTATTTAAGCTTCAAAGCAAAATTATAAATCACAGTACAAGTATGGCAAAATATGGTTGCTATGGAATACAAGTTTGATGCCCAATGGTAATTGTTCATGAGACAATCCAATCACAGCAGCAGGAAGATCTGGGGGACTATATATTGCAAAACATAATCGCCATGACAACATACACAGCTTCATCATCACTCCGTTACCATGGTACCACATAATTATTATTGCAATGTTTCCATGGCAAAGATGCACCTGAATTACAAAGTCTAGTGAATCTTTGGGCTAAAACTGACATGAACATTGCAGCATTTGGAATGATTAATGATTGAGCACATTTTGTTGTGTCCTCAAAAATGGCAGAAGATATTCACATTCAATGACTCCTTAAGTGGAAATGTTTTTCGGAAGTGTGTTTTGTTTCAAAGAAGTCTGTTGCTTTAGTCTCTTCTCTTCTAATAAACAGAAGTCACATTTTAGCTTCCTATTTGACTCAATTACACAAAATCCTTCCATCTTTTTGGTATGACCATCGTTGTTAAGCAACACAAAAGTACTTCCACCAAAAATGTTGAACTATAATTAGAGTAGGTGCTATCGTAGAAGCAGAATAAAGATAACTATTGATGCTAGAAGCAGTGTTTTTGAGGAGTTAAGTGTCCTTGAGGCACTGTTTATTGTCCCTGTGTTTTTACTCGTTCCTGTGGCATCTATGACATTTTCTTTACTAGGATCTTTAGGTTTCTCATGGAATTTTGTTGCTGAAATAGGAAAATGCAGCAATGAATTCCATGTATGTTTTCTTCATTACAAATAAACAAACAACATTTAAAAATATATCCAAAGATATCAGTCTCTTTCCCAAATAAATTGTGATCAGATATTTGAATTTAAAACTGATATAACATTTATCTATAAGTAACAGTTACAGATATAAAGGTGGTTGAAATCCTTACTTGTTGAGATGGTGGTTGTGCTGGGTTTCTGTGTTGTGGCGATGGTTGTGGTAGTGGTAGGTGATGGAGATGGAGTCACCGGTTTAGGAGTGGTAGTTGTGGTTGTGGTAGAGCTGGTAGTGGTTTTGACAGCATCACTGCTGTTCTGTGGAGCCTGAGAGGGGGAGGGGGTCTGGGACCCCGGCGGGGAGACTGTCATTGCCAGCTTCATTTTGTTTGACTTGCAGGCCCCATCTATCTTGTTATCTAAACCCTGAACATATCCTGTTGAGGTTGCTGTAAAAAGAAGTAAAAATACTTGTGAAAATTTTGTCTTGTATCAATGTTATGTTTTTTTTTAATTATACATGTGTTACCTAATAATATTGGCAAATGGCTAAACTCTTATATGATCTGAGTTACACACATTTATTTTAAGACTTACTCATAAAATAGTATTTTCCTGGTGGGAAATCAATCATCCCTGGTACTGACTGGAAGCGGCGAATCAGAATTGTGAAATAATTTTCATTATTTGGAGTAGAGCAATTGAGCACCAATGTTGCATTGACTGGCGTACGTAATCTGCAGTTGTTGTATTCTGTCATTGTTACCTAAAAAACAAACAAGAGTTATCTCTCTTGAAACAGATCATGGAAAAAATATACATATTGCACATTGTAATAAATTTAGAATCAAATTTAACAAAAAATATTTTTATTAAGACTAGATTTATTTTCTAAGAATTCAGTAAGTGGTATTGACTTACTATGTAGACTAAGTAGTATTCATATAGGCTAGATGATGTGCTGGAGGGATAAAGGGGGCACCTGAAGTCTATACTGTCCTCAAGGTTGACATTTATCTCACTATTTGAGTGGCTAAATCTGGAAAGACAAAAATTAGGAAATCTCCTGTAAATAGTGAATATATCATTGAATATTTTTGCCTTCATGCTTTTGTTTAAATAAATTATTTTCTCCAGCTTTGAGGATTTCTCCATCGAATTTGTTACAGACATGAACAAGGTACATGTAATATGTCCTATTAAGCACTGTTAATTAAAACAAATCTACGAAATTTCATTGGTCTACAAGAGATAAAAGGAATTCAGAGACTCCTTTTCAACTTAAAGCTGACTTTGCCAAGCCAACTCAATGATAGCTCTGATGAAAAAAGGCTTTGATTGAAAAGAAAGAAAGAAAAAAAATGGGGGCTTTGGACATCATCTTTTTTTCAAAACTAATCAATCAAAGCAGATTGGAGAGAGAAAAAAAGCTTTTGGTTATTTTACCATTTGATCAAATATAAAGATAAGTATTCAACTCTGTCAACAACTGGCAAAAACAAGATTCTCATTTCCAGAGAAAAATGAAGATATTCTCAGTACCGAATTCTTTGACCTCATGAATGACGATTACTTTGCCAAGATTTCACATTAAACTGTCTCTCTATACACTGAAATATTATCAAATTTACATAATGAAAAATTCATCTTTTAAGAGCTAGATCATAAAATGAATATAAATTAATTCATTTTCATTCTACTGTAATTACTGGGAGTATAAACGGGGAATCAAGCCTAGCAAAAAATGAACCATTAGCCATTGTTTCCTCGACTTGAAGCATAGCATTATGGGTAGTAAACTTGACAGGGGTTAAGAGAGACTTCATACGATAACCCTTGGTAATTGCAGCCATTTCCAATCAAACGCCATCATCACAACTTATAATTAAATGTCACTGATTAGCAATAAATGGAATTTCCATGTCACTTCTGTTTTCTCCAAATCAGAACTTATTTTTTTTTTTTCACTGAGAGACAGATAAGGAGAATACTGGACTGATGAATGAAACAAATTTCATTAATATGTATAGCTAACTCTCTCTCTCTCTCTCTCTCTATATATATATATTTGTCTTGTAGCATATACCTTAAAGTTTCATAATTGACAGCAAGAAACTTTAGTAGCTGCGATTTGGATATTTATTTCATGCTATAAAATGTCATCATTTATAAACTTAATTATACACCTGAGTAACTTGTATCAAAATTCCAACTAAAGCAATTGGTATAAGAAGGAAATCTTCATAGTGATCTCTTGCCTTGCTCAATGTCTGTAACTTCTACCTGGATGGATGTGGGGTGTGATGCAGTATTTTTCTTCATAAAAAAATTCTTTTCTGTTTAATTGAAGAAAAAGATATGGCTGGCCAGTGTCCAAGCATAAAGTTCTACTTGGTTAACTTTTTTGAGTAAACTTGTAGGTAAAGGGGTGGATGCATACTTTAAAGAAAAACATTTTGTTATGCTTAATTAAGTAAAGGGTTGAAGAAAGCAAAATGATGGCTGTATGCCTGAAAAAGAAAATTTTGTTGAATGTTTTCTCAGGATGTTTTATCGTTTTTGTATTCCTATAAGGTTAAAATAGAATATTGAGAAGAGGTGGAGTTAAAAGATTCAGTTAAAAATCTTGAAATTAGCAAAACTCAATTTTAAATAAATATATTGCATTAAATAATGATATAGGTTGAAAAAAGTGCATAGGATTTAATAGCAAGTGTTCCTATAATGTTTCTAGAACAATGCAAAAAAAAAAAAAAAAAAGAAAAGAAAAAAAAAGAAAAAATAAACAAAAATATGGCCAATTTCTCACCCTTGTGAAAATTTTTACAAACATTATCTAATATGACAGGTAATTGTCAAACTGTAAATGGCTATTGTACTATGTAGCTAATGACGGTTCAAATGTCTGTGCAATTACAGTATTGTTCGACCATGTTTTATTGTGCGTTTTGTGTATAAAAGGTACACATACCCAGCAATACACGTCAAAAGTCAGGTGCAAAAAAAAGAGTTTCAGATTTGCGTGACTGGAACGTGTTGCACGCTACATGTCATTTAGAAAATTGCACTCCTCGTGATACAACAAGGAACATTAAGGCAGCCCTACTCATGTAAACTTTGTACATCTTACAAGACATTCAATACAGCTAATAATACTTATATGGAAAGATCACGAAATAAATGTGTATAAATCATAATTAATTGTCCATTGGGATCAAAACCACATTGCAAAACTAGCTCATTTGGGAAAGATGTCAATCCCATCTTAATACCACACTTTTACTTTTCTGAAAGGAAACTTGCCGATTGAGGACATTCATAAGAAAATCTGCAAGTGTTTTGAAAATTCTATTTCTCTACCAAATAACTTGAAAGTCACATCTTAATGACAAGGGCAAGCCCTGTTTTGAATAGATTCAAATTAATATCAAATGACACTTATCCAAAGAAAGAAAACTGTATTCCTTTCAGTTAGTGTATTTCAATGGTTTCCACCTTGAAAATTTCATACCCTGATTGAGATCTAGATAACACATTAAAAAGAAATGTCTTTGAGATTTGATGAAATTATTTTTTAATATAGTAATGTTATTGAACTAATATGTTTGCAATTGCCACGACTTCTGATTCCTAGTCAAAATCGATTTCATCAAGACAGGTGAAAAAAATTTAAAAAGGAATGAACTTGGCGTTATCGTAATCTGAATTGAAGTAATTTATAAATGGCCATTGACCACATACAAAAGGGGTATTTTTTCTTGGTAACACTTGTTGAAAAAAATTCTCATGGATTCAATGGCTTTTTAATGACTGCCTACTTTGACATGCATCATATCTGATCATAGATAAAAATAACAGTTTCTGATTAAGAACCATGCTATTTTTTAACCAATAATACCTCGTGAGACCCATGTGTGACCTATTCAAAAAAAGTCAACCCCATTTAAGTTTTTGATAGAGAGGTTTTAGTCAAGGCTCATTTAAGTACTAAGTGACTGTGAGCATTTCTAATGTTCAATATTGGCATTTTTGGGGGTATTGTGTTCAGGTCCAAATGTTTTGGTTAAAATCCCTTTCATTTAAAATGGCTGGTCTCTGCAAGGATTAACAATAACTGACTTATCACAGAATATGTATTTACTTTCTTAACATTATGGGAACCCTTCCCAAAATTTATTCTCTTTAAAACATTAGTATGAAAATATTGCAATATTATTATTTTCATAACCGATAACACTTTTTAAACCTATCCTTTTACAAGACCCTACTTTTAACACAAATCTTTATCAATGGGTACGATCAAAACCATATGCATTCAAAATTTTAATAAGTTTTAAATTTTAATCTTGGATACAAATTTTCATACATGTTTATTTATCTATTTTCTTAATAAAAAAATGATTCACAGATACATTTACTTGACTTGAATAATTCCTGGACCCCTAAACAATTTTAATATTTTTGCAATGGACAGAAAGAAGTCAGTCCAAGAACTATATCTGATTAATTAATCGATTGCTAGGCCAACCACACAGACTGTGATAAAACTTTCTGCATTTGATCACTCAGTACTAACAAAAATACATGACCATATTGTTCCGTTTCATCTGAAGTATTGAAAACCCATCCATCATTAGGGGGAAAAAAAGTTTGATTAAAACAGCAAAATCCATTTGGAAAAGCAAAAGATAGAATTCCGAGTCTCACTGCTTCGTGATGTACAAACTTGCTTAGGACCTCTGACATTAGCTCGTCAAAGTGGATAAACTAATTAATCAGCGATGCACTACTTCTTGAAATCAGCGCTCTCTCCTAGAATGCATAATTTCATTTTATCTTTGACCATACTTTAAAGACATTTGAAAGCTCTATTTTAAATCTTTTTTTTTTAAAGGACTTGATACAAGAATGATGAGAATTCCCAGTAGTAAATGTAACTACCTTTTTTCTTTAGGATATAAAGCATGGCAATAAATTTACTCTCATAATTGACAAATTGTATACATGTAATTGTCTCGGAGTCTCTTTAAAATACTCCATGCTAAAGCAATATAGACACTTAAATGGATGATGGTAATTTGCATCACAGTCTGGCAGTAAAACAAATCGTGCAGATTGTATTTCCAGACACAAATATAATGAAACCTGCCATAAAAATTATCCCTTCTCACCTCACATACCTTCAGACAATTTTTTGGGAGTTCAGTAGTTAGGGGTAATTTATGAGCCTTCATGTATGAGCAGATGGGAGAAATAATCATCTAGAAATGCGACTGATGAACCCTTTTACACCTTCAGTATTGAGAAGTCACCTCCAGAAAATTGCCACAACAATGACCTAAAGAACACCATCATTAATCAATGCACCCTGGAAAATAGGGGGAAGCTAGTCAGGATTTCTACAGGAAGCCCAAATTACAGGTGCCCCACCATGTAAATTACAGGTGCTTTACTATAACTGTCTCTAACTCATCAACATTAATCATGGCCTGTTGAAAGCTTGGAATGGAACCCTGCAAATCCCCTGGATCGGTCATCAGGTTTTGTGAAATCTTTTCTGCAGAAGACTTCCACACATGTGGCCTTAACTGAATTAATGCAATCGTACACATTTTTTTCTCCCCCATTACACCTTCTGGCATGTCATATTAACCCTATTATCCATCTTCTAGTCTTCTTCATCCATTGAAGACAAAAAATAAAAATAAAGTGCATCCTCTTTGATATATTTTTATGAACACATTCTTTTGGTGATTTCTTCCGATTACACTTCCTGTATGTTATTTTGAGCAGTCTTAAAGAAACCTTAATTCACCCTGGGTAAGGTTTTAAGTACCTTTAATCCTCCAAATAAGTACATATGTATTAAAACAAAATTCAGAAAAACTTTAAATCTTTAGAAAATGAAGATTTAGTGACCACATCAACTATATTTATGGGTGGTCAGTTATAGCAAAGAGATAAAAAAAAAAAAAAAGGACATGAGGTAACTTGACAGCAAACTGGCTCAGCAATATTTGAACATTTTGAGTCATGCTA